GAACAAACAAAAGAGTCACATAAACAAACAATAAATAAGCTTCAGATAATGGACCCTCAAAGAGAGCGCGGTCTAGTGCGGCTCTATGGAGCTGTGTCTGCACTTCACACATGGATGTGAGGGGACGGACTCACATTAGGCCTTTAAGGGAGCTTTGTGTTAGTGTGCATATTTAGGTCTGTTTTCAGTAATCAGATAATTGTTATGTACTTTTGCCTCTGTCATTGTCTTTGATTGCTCGGAGTATTTATTCAGCATACATGCTGCATGTTGTGGTGGTGGGTGCAGGGCTCATTCATTGATCTCAGACACGTTAAAGCCTGTTAAAAACAGGAGCTATACAAACTAATAAGAGGAAATCCAATATAAACGGTAAAGCGAATGTTCCTATAGCTCTTATTCTTAAGCGTCTTCTGTTTGTCCACAGAGCAGGTCCCAGGCCTGAAGGAGCCGAAACGTGTGGAGGAGTTGCACACTAAAGTCATGTGCTGTCTGAGTGAACATCTGGGCTGTGGTCCGTCATTGTCAGCGCCCAAGTCTTCGAGTCCGCTGAGCCGCGTGCTCAGTCTGAGAGCGGAGCTGCGCTCACAGCGAACACAGGGCCTGCAGCGCATCTTCTACCTGAAACTGGAGGACCTGGTCCCACCCCCACCTTTGATTGACAGGTTTCTGGACACCCTGCCTTATTGACATTTTGGGTAACGACAGTGTGGCTAAAAGTCACAAGCTTTCTGGGCCTTTTCACCCACACGGAGCACGCGCACCAAACGACTGACTCTGAATCCAGAGCAGAGAGAAGTCATGGACCGTGGACTCAACATCCACTTCGTCACAAATGGACCACCACATGTATGAAACTGCACACGCTTAAATGCATTGTATCATTGTGTGTGTATGCGGGGAACAAAGGTGCTCCAGACCAGAGGAAAGGACTCTTCAGCTGGGCGGCAGCTTATTCGACAAAAGACTCAAGTCAATGGTTTAAGAGTACTGTCAGTTTTACCCCCGCCCACTCAACATGGGACTTGCTAAGTAGATACAAGAAACATGCTTTACAAAATATCTCTGTCAACAAGAAGGTGCTTATGACTAAATGAACTGAAATGTGAAAAAGCATGTGAAAGAAACATCATAACACAGGACACAAACATGTAGAAATGTGGTTTATAAAAGTGCAATTCCTTAAGTGCTCTGTCACAACCAGAAGAGCCATTTATTTCAAACTCTAAATTATTTTAATAAGACCTGTCCTATTCTGGTGATAGGTAGAATAAAAAGAGCTACGTGCACTAACAACGACTTCAGACGTCAGCCAGACTTGAACCTGCTCTAGTATGTTTTCAATGTTGTTCTGAAAGAATAGCATGTATAGAAGTATGGAGGAATAAATATTGCTTTTGAATTGGCCTTTGCGGCACTTAACCCCCCGAAGAAGGGCTAAAGGTGCAGACACACACCCTCTGTCTTGAGAAGAGGGTGCTCGACAGATTTAAGGCCAGGGGTCAAACATTCCAGTCTTTTTCTATGTGTTTCGGTTGTGGAGGTTGAGAGCAGGTCAAATGCATGGTGTGCTAAAGCTAACAGGAGCGCTCTCAGACTATGGCTCCCACACTCACGGCAGCAGTTTGAAACGAGACAAAGCAAATGACATAGATATAAATAAATATATATATATAAATATATATATATACACAAAACTAATATTTTGAAGTGTTTTTAGCTTTTTCAAATATTGTGGTACAAGTTGTGCATTGTTTTTTGAAGAAGATATACAAAAAAATATAAAAAAAAAGTTGTTGGTTTTTTTCATTGTCCCTCCTTGGTTTGATTTGTTTGATTTACTTCTTCCTTTTTGGTTCACTGGATTTTCTGTTCAGCACTTTGAAATTATAAACTAGTTCTGATTATTATGATAAACTGTGTCATGTGTTTTGATTCAAAACTTTACAAAACGTGGCCACTGGGAGATGGAGAACTCCAGTCTGGTTTTTGGCCTATTTTTTGGCATTCATATTTTGACACAGACATATGACTGAAGCCTGAAGGTCCACTGCATAACTTTTCTGGTGCTTTTTTTTGGAATGTTCATTATGGCATTAAACTTATCTGACTAGTATGTATTTCAAACATTTATCTCTCCATTAATTTGATGGATCCTCCACTGGAAAGTTACAGAATGCGCCTTTAAATAATATGCTTTATCAATGGTTTCCATTATTAAGTCGTTTAGTCTCTACTCAAAGCATTTGAAAACTATCTGTGAATGTGACAAAAGAAAATTTCATTTCTGTCAACTGGCATCATTGCTGTGAACACAACATTTGGGATACTGCTACTACTGGAGATGCAAATATCAAAAATATGGTCATCTTTTGTACACCAACGGCTGTATTCGCACCACAGTTTGGGAACCATTAGCCCATATAATACAGTCTCTTGTAGTGGTGCATGGTAAATGTTTAAGACCCTGCCCTAAATGATCTTGAATTGCAACTAAAACTTTACTAGAATTTTCAAAATTTTTACATTCTGGAGGAAATAATCACTATACAATCTACATTAGTCATACTTGCTTTACCATTTCAATAACAGAACATCTACATTTAGACAGGTTTGCATTGTCTGTTGACAGGTGAAGGGCTTGCCATGCTCCCAGGGGCCCACAGCGTCTCACAGATTGTTGAGGGGGATTAGGGGAGTGATAGGGTGGAGAGGGGGGAGAGTGGGATAGAGCTCTGTGTTAGCATGAGGTCCGGATCAGCCCCGAGCCTAGTTAAACACCATTGATCGCTACAGTGACATTTCACAGGCCCTGCTGTCTATACTGTCACTACCATCACTCACTGCTGCAGCACATCACACTCTCTCTCTCTTTATGTTCTCACTCGCTTCTCTCTCTCTTCTCTGCCTTTCCCTTGCTCCCTCTCTATCTTTCAGTCTCTCTCATTCTCATTTTCTCTCTCTCGCTCCTCTCTCTATCCTTCTCTCCTCCCTCTTTCTCTCTCCTCACTCTCTCTCCCTCTCTCTCTCCTTCACTCACACATCAGGTGACAGGTGACTGATAGTAGCTGTGGTGGCTAATTCTTCCTTCCTGGAGTGGAGATTTCTGTGAGAATGGAGAGAGCGCGCAGAGGTGTACATGACAAAGTACAAGTTATAGTACATTATCAGCAAAGAATGGCCTCTGTATCCAATCTATTGAGCAAAAAGTTATATTACAAGTTCAGTATCAACAAAGGACCAAGTAATGTATTCATATAGGCATTGGTAAAATAAAGTCAGTGTTCATGAGCATACAAAGGTTCTATCTAAACAATAAATTCAACTCAAATATTCTATACATTATAATATGTGCTATGAACTTTCAAACTACTGCCATCAAATCTATTAAAAATGTCTCAAAAGGTCAGTGATCAAAAGGCACAAGTTACTTTAATATGAAATGCACCTTCTTTTATGATTATCATATATTTTAATGCATAAACAATTGAATGTTTTGCCATCTTTGTCTGTGAAAATTGTGTTTTTGGGGAAGTCAGGTCAATACCATCTTTTGCCTCTTCTGGGACATTCACTGCCTCTCTTTTATTTCTCAGCCCTTGGTTGTTGTGAGTAGGTTTATGAGTGTTTTGAGTGTAAAACTCCAGCTCTGACAGAAAACACACATATAGTGAGCTGTCAGTCTTTTGGTCGATCGATCAGCGCTGACAGATCGCAGATACCCCCAGAGTCTTAATTAGCCATCCCATTAGGACAGCCACACAGGCCAGAGCTGCACTGAACACAGCTCCGCTGCAGCTGTAATTTATTCTAATGTAATCATTTTACACTTTTCATTTGAGAATGCAGGTAAAAGGCAAAAAAACAACAACATTTGAGCCTTTTTTTTTTAAATACAGAAATAAAAGTCAAATCAAGCTATTATGTTTTACAGTCAGTGTTGTCACTTTCTTCTCCTTTTGTCTATTTTTAGAAGGTCTATACATCTTGAAATTAAATATTATATGAAATGGCACTGGCGCTTATCAGAATTACTAGATTAAAACAACCACTGGCTTTCTCACCTGCTGACAGACTTCCTGGATTAGTCTCAAATGAATGGCCCCTGAGTCCTGTGCTCCACACACCCACACGCATGTGCCTGTGTGCGTGTGTACACACACACACAAACACACACATAAACACCTGCCCCAGTGCTGTGGCCCAGACAGCATAATGTTTATAATCAGACTTTCACTTTCAGCTTTCTTCTGCCTACTCAGTCTGTGGCTCTGGGAGTCCCCTAGACCAGTGGACACACACGCCCACTCACACAGAATGTAATGCACCAGGGGAAAGCCCCATTCAATGGGACTATGCCCCTCCATGGAGGCTGAGCTGAACATGTGGGGGTTGGCCTAAATGTCAAAGGTAAAAGTTGCCACAAAGAGGAAGTGGAAACAGACTGATAAGGAGGGGGAACCCCAAGGTTTTCTGATGCTATGTTGTGAAAACAAATTTAAAAAATAAAAAAAAAATAATATTTGAACTGCAATCCTGAGCTGAGCTCAGATGTACCACTGCCAATGTGATGCCTTTGTATCTGTCCCCAAGCATATTAAAATGTTTAATGCACCATTCTAATAAAAACATTCAGAACAAGAGCTGAGGCTTCTAATATAAGCCTATTTTGTTTTCAACATATTAAGATAGATGCAGTAAATTAAGCATTTAGTTTAGTAATTGTACAGCACAAAAACTGGAGTTGAATGACACGGAGATACTGGACCTAGACATGGCCATGTACGTCGACTTAAATTGGGGTTTAGAAATATCTCAAAAATACTGCCATATAATAAAATATATAAAATACCGTATATGGACTATGTAGACAAAGAAAATGTCTTCTGATGCAAACATATTTTTGGTTTTCGCTGTGTTTTGTTACAGTGGTTTTAATGGTGTAAATCTTGCGGGGCAACAGCTGACACTTTAAACAGGAACTAGATTCACTGTGACTACGGGAAGTCGGAAAGTATTCAAGGGTGCACAAGTTTGTTTACAAACACCAGACGGATTTGGCAGCGCATTTGTTTCCAGTTTTAGGATAAACACTTGATAATTTCGCAAGTCGATGCCTTAGTCAATGCTTTAAGTTATCGGTGAGTATTTATATAGAAGTACATAGACCTATTTAAACAATCCTCGCTTTCTTTCTTTCTTTCGTTCTTTCTTTCTTAGTGTTTTTGTAGCGGGCTATTTGGGCTAAAACCTTTTAATCTAATGAAAAGTGAGTTACGAAGTTTATAAATGTTAGAAAACACTACGACTGTCACTGGGTTCTGAATAAATACACAAAACCTACAACTTTGCCCATTTTGTTCCAAATCTTACTTATATATTTGAGTGGTTACACACATTTTAACTGTAAGTTATTTAGCGATATTACTTTATGTACTGTGTTGGTGCAGATATAGGCTGCTCAGCAGGGCCCCGATGGCTGTGGAAAACGACAGGCTCACCCTGAGGCGTCTTGAGGTGCCAGTCCACAAGTTTATTAAAGTGGCAATACCCACGGATTTGGAAAGACTACAAAAACATCATAGTAACATTTTAAAGGTTCACGTTTCCATAATTATCACAGAGTTAAGACACAAATTCTTATTATGACCTGAATTTAACACTCTTTATTTTTCCTCCACAGTATCAGCAGTTGCAGCAATGGGACAAACTTCACGACGAGCACATAAATGCAATTCGGACAGTGCAGGTAGGCTTATTTGTTACATCTGAAGTCTTTTACTAGTGATGAGAAAGGTTTTTATATATAATCCTGTCACAAAGAGTTCCAGTAATATTTGTGGAAAATATTGTGAGGAAAAAGCTGATTTCAGACTCCACACTCCTCATGCTTCATGCACATAGCGGTGGAAATGAGAGGCCTTTGGGACATGTTGTTTCCTGGAAGCTGTGGTGTCTCTGAAGGTGAAATATTTCCAAACAGGACACATCCATCCTCTCACCATTCCCCCTCACGCCCGTGGGACCAGGCCAGAGTGCTTTCCTGTGTCTTCATAGTGTTAATCCAAAAATGGGCGTAGTAATCCTGACCCTGTGTAGATAACATCTGTTGTAGATAGAGGGAGGAGATACGCCTATATTGAAAATTCATAATATTACAATTGTTTTATTTGAGATAGCACATAAAATTTGAATGTAGGCTAGTATATTGTCAGTAAGAAAGGCAGCAAAGATAGCAGATTAGAAGTAAATATAAAACAAACTTGTAATATTATCTTCCAAACAAGGATTTTACTTATTTTGTATGAAAGATGCAGAACATATTCTAAAATGCACGTGATTCTTGTTCTAGTTTAGCACGTCAAATTTCAGTCTCTTCTCAAATTTTAATGCTATGGTGATTAAAAAAAACAAAAACAAAAAAACAAAACGCAATTACTTTTTTTTTTTTAGATATTTAGGTATTAGATGTTTCTTTTGTTTTGTTTTTTTACAAACAAATTCTTTTCAATTAAAACCAGTGCACAACAACAAGTTAGTACCCTAGACTTAGTTGGTGCACTGGTCTCACCTATAATTATTATGGATTAATTTTACTGGCTATCTTTACATCAGTGTCTAAGCAGACAAGCTAAAATCATATTCTGAGTCAATATTAATTTTCCTGCTCTGTCTTATACATGTGGTTGGGCTTGATTTGCAGTTTGACAGGTGCTGGACCCAAGTGACCAATCGTTCACCGTATATTTTTCACTTTTATGCATTTACTCTGAGAAGCAGCCAATGCAGGGATGTTTATTCATGTAGTGTGATTAGCAGAAATAGATATTGGCAGGCAGCTGACCCCATGAGACCAGGTTGTGGTGTGGCCTGGGGGGCTGGTGGCTGCGCTGTAATCCTCCTGTCACCCCCAGGGCACAGCGGGACCTGGGGTTTGTGCTCCCCAGAATAATACCACCCCCACCTCTCACCTCTCACCTCCCCTCTAACCATCCTCACACATATATAAAACGTTACACCAGGGTCAGATGAAGCTGTATTGATATTTTACAGCTGATGTCATCAACTTTACCTTGGGATGTGATGCTAACTGAAGTCACTACTCTATCTGAAGTTCTGTCGCTCAAGTTAGACTTTAATCTGAGCAGAAAGAGCTGACTTGGTTGGAACTACAATAGGTGAGATGATTTGTGCTGTTAAACAAGTCCCTCACACATCAGATTACTATCACAAGCTAGATAACATTAGCGAACAGTTTTTCAGTTAGTCACTCTTACCTTTTTGCTGAAAATCTAGTTAAATAGGACCATGGACACTCATATTGAGCACAGGCTCCTGAAAATATGTGCTGTTTTAAGTCAACTTTTTTCTTAAATTTTCAGTCGTAAAACTTGTTTGTCTGTGTTTTTAATGTGTGCATTGTGGCGCTATGATAATATTCTGCCAATAGTAGGGATGTAAAATATCCAAATCCCTTGGTATGATATTATAATGATATGCATCTCACGGTACGATATTTATTGCGATATTTTGGAGAGGCTAATATATTTGTAGATTGTAGGACACTTTTTTGCTTTTAAAATATCTTGACAATATTTTGTTGTGAATTATTTCCATCATAATTTCCAAGAATTCAAGTAAAAACCATATCTCTTCATGTTGTTTACTCTGAAATGCATCATGGGATATGTAGTTTCCGATGTTCATAAGCTGTTGCAACTATAAAACCATGCATTTAAGCAAAGGAACTTGTAATTCGATATATTGTGACATCCCATGATATTATTGTGAGACTTTTGACAATACAATATCACAATATTTCGGTTATCCGCAGCCAATAGAAATACAAATACTTATCTCCGTGAAAATGTTATTCTATTGCCTTGAGTGTTCAACAGTATTACATTAAACTTGTCTGTCTTCATAGAGACACGTAGAGGACTGATCTGATCTAATCCAATCGAATGGGTTTTTTGTTCATAAATAGCAATACCACTTAATTTTACTCTTATTTACTATTTGTTGGTAATAATTTCACTGTAAAGGACTTTTTTCTATTTGCCCTGCAGCAGTTGAGAGCAAACATGAGAGAGATGGAGAAGTTGTGTGGTCGGGTGCGAAAGGAAGATGCTGCCTCTCTAGAGAAACTGGTGCAGCCGATCAGAGAGAGAGCCTCCGCCGCGGTCCAAGACTTTCTCCTCCTGCACCCTGCCCCTGACCCCCAGGTGACCCACGCCCCTGCCGATCATGCACCTGTCACTCACACACCTGCCGCTGACATGTCCAGCAGTCGTCAAGATGAAGACTCAGAAGAGGAGATGTTATGTGAAAGGCAAATTCAGCTCCCCGTCATACCTCCAGATGAGATCGCATCAGAGTCCTGGGAAAATCTAGAAGAGGTACACACATTCCTCAGCAATTAATTTACAATACGCCAGTTATCCATAAAATTACCACTGATAACAAAATGGACACACCTTTTTTTTTTTATCACTGATATGTACAAATCAGGTATAACATTGTGTCCATGGACAGGTGGAGTGGATATGAGACCCACCCTTAAATGTGATTTAGCCCAGGATTGGTTTGGTTCCGTTTTAGATCCAGTGGAATTATTGAAAAAAAGGAGAAGAAATAAAACAAACATAACACTCTAATAGACGAGTTACTGTATTGTTCAAATGATGCTATCTCTAATAAACTGAAAGTGCAGTACATTGCCTATGGGGCTGCACATTGGAGGCAGTCGACATGTTAGACGTACTGTAAATAGTAGGCCCTTTGTGTTCATTCTGGGTCATGTAAAACAGCTTCATTATAATCCTACAAGACACCAGGAGCAAGTTTTCAAGTACAATCTGATAATATATGTTTCTTAGTTATTGGGTTCAAACTTGTTAAATATAATCATACAGAATTTATTTAATTTTTATGTATTCATTTTGGGCAAGTAGAGATTTGCATTCTTATTCAATGGAACATATAACATAAGTGAAACCATAGTAGAAATAAAAATAACAACAATAAAAATTGGAAAGGAAAAAGGAGTGGGAAGAAGAAAACATATTAATCCCACCCCCACTCTTCTAATCTAACACAATGAGCTATTTTTTGCATTTTTCAGACAGTTTGCATTAAACTATATGAACTACTTACAAGTGCGGATAATGAGTAACTGTTATAGCTTGGCAGTATAACGTAAGCATACTAACAATGGTGATGTTAGTAATGTAAATAGACGGCACAAACCAGCAATGGAAAAGAAACAACATGCATAAACCAGCACTACAGAAGGAAGTATTGCTCTAATATTATGACCCACTCTCCCACTCACTCTATGTTTATATAACAACTTGAATTTATGGATATTTTAAACATTGGTAAGTGCTTTATAAACAACAACAACAATCTAAGCAGTGTTTCCCACCCAGAGGTACAGGGACTGAAAAGTATTTGAATATAAAAGGTTCTTCTTAGTAAATTTTATATCCTCAAGACAACATCAGATTTAATTACCTAAATAATCATTTGTAAACAAGTTATGAGGAACTAGTAAGTAAGTAAGTAAATAAGTAAGCCTTTATTTATATAGCACTTTTCGCAGATAAAAAAAATCACAAAGGTTACAGAGTGCAATAAATAACATATACAAGAACAGAGGAATTACAGACACAGTCAACTAAAAGCCTATCTAAAAAGTAGTGTCTTGAGCTGAGCTGCTTTTTAAAAGTGTCTATAGAGTCTGCTTCACGGAGGGCTAGGGGCAGGGCATTCCATAATTTGAGAGCCACAGCCTGAAACTAGGGACAGAAAAAGGTTGAGAACATTGGGAATGTGTATTACTACTTTTGCATAATGATGTTCCTATCTAAAGTTCTGTTGCCACATATTATAAAGATGTAATGTCTCCTACACAGGATCTGAGAGAGCTGGGTGGTTTGGTGACAGAGTTCTCTCTTCTTGTCCATGTAAGTATCCACTGTCATAAATATTACTGTGTGCTTAGAGGCTACTCCTGTGTTCACATGTTACCCCTCCATAGATTTCCCTACGTACGTGAGAATAAAACAAGGTAAGCTAGTTCGCAGTGTAACCAGGAAGTGCTTGACTCCTGTTTGTGTTGCCCGGTGAAGTCCTCGGAGAAGAGTTAGGAGGGATCAGATAAAGTCTATATGAGGCCCTAGAGGGTACTACTCACTTAGACACAAGCAGGCAGCGAAAGAGGGAGGAGAGAGGATTTGAGAAAGCATAGTCCATTGGGAAGAACCAGGAACAAGGGATACATATGAACAGGTGGAGAACAGACGCCTCAGATTATCAGTCTATCCTCAGGGATAGATAGAAGGAGAGAGGGAAAGAGGGAGTGAGGTAAAGATGGGTATATACGATAGATGAACACAGAAAGAGGAGGGGAAGGGCGAGAGAGGAGATGTTGTTGGGGTAAAAGAACCAAAAAAGGGGCAAGATAGTGTTGGATGGGGGTAAAGAAAGTGCATAGACATGTTCTGGTGACCCCTGAAAGATGCTTTTAAGGGAGTGGTTCATGTTGGAGTGGAGAGAAGTCTGCATGTGTGTCATCTACTGCTGATATAATACTAAAACCAACTCTTTTTCAGTAGTTTTCATATTCATATATTCATATTCATATTGCTAAATACATGTCCTTTTTGTCATAATTCTTTATCTAAATATTTTTGCTCATTGGAAGCATTATAAGTAAATTCATTGTATACCAGATTTAATTTAAGTCTTCATTTCAGTCTGGTAACTGTAAACTTCGATACAACATCTATTAACGTCATTATTAATGAATACATTTTGGCATAAGTAATAGATGTTGCCTGCTGGAATCCCTCAATAAATATACGCTAACTCGTGAGAATAAGTTGGACTGTTTTGAAAATCTGCACTACAATCATTCAATAAAAAAGCCTGGCAAATATTTGTCTGTTTAGCTTCACAAGTTATAATAAATAAATAGATAAATAACAGTAAAACTAAATGGGAGCAAATATGGGAGAGGAATAGTGATGAGTAAATATGCTTTGGTTGTTGTTTGGTCAGAGTCTGGCCTCACAGAGAGAGACAGCTGCCACTCTGAATATTTCATGAGAAGGACACAATGCTCCGGTCCACACACTCACAGCCAAGTGTAATCTGTGCAGTGATAGTACGAGTGTTACTATATCAGATTTTGTGTTTGGATTTTGGTGAGAACAACTGCAAAATAAAAGACCACTGATTTCATTATTGATTTTCTTTATTGATTATTGATTATTGACTCCCTGAGAAAAAGTCTGAAATCCTTAATTCACCAAGTTCTCATAGAATAGCTCTCCACAGAAGATGAAAATGTTCAAATGCTCTTTTGCTTCCTATTCTAAATTAAATATCGTTGCTTCTAAAATGTAAAGGCAGTGTCCCCATATGCATTTATATACATATACATGGAGAAATGTAATTTACTGCTTCACTTTAATATTTTATGACTCATGTTTTGTACACTGCAATTACTTTTACAGTTTTATTAAATATACTGTATTTGTAATGCCAATTTATTTTTGACACGTTAACATCATGGTTAATATGTTAAATGGAAACTCATTCTGGCATCTTGGCAGTGCAATTTATCAAATCTTAATCAAATTGTCGTGATCAAAACATTTCAGATTGTCAGTTGTCAAATCAGTTTGGGGCTTTTAATCAACAAGTCTTCAGATAATCTTGTGGTAGTAAAGGCAATTAAATTCAGTTTGAGTTAATTTTTTTCCAAATGGCGCAGGAAGTTGAGGTTAATTTTAATTAATCTATGAAATTATTTAAAGCCTTATTCAATAGTTTTAACAATAATTACATAAACTAATTGAATAAAAATTGTCCCCAGCCCTACATCTGAATCAAAATAAATCAATTATCCCCTTCTGCAGTTCACCTGTACCCTGTGATTCCTCTGCTCTCCCATGGCCTTGTTCTTACCTCTGTGTTCACACTTGTGCCTCACTCCAGTGGGGTAGTGGGGCGGGTGTGATGTGTCTAATGTGTGTGCGTGTGTCTAACCCCTGTGCCTCAGTCCCAGCAGGAGAAGATCGACAACATCGAGGACAACGTCAACATGGCCGGCGCCAACGTGGAGGAGGGTACACGCAGCCTGGGGAAGGCAAGTGTCTGCAAAAACTCAATATCTCACTGTGGTTAAAGTAACTTGGATTCATAATATTAATCTGCATTTGAGTAGTTATGACCACATTTAAAGGTGCACAATGTAACTTTTCTGGTGGAGGCCACATCACCACCTTGTAATTGCTTTGCCTGGAGTGTTCCTCAGTATGGCATTGTATCTACCTCTCATTTATTTCAGTATTGGTGTTTATATTACCCAAAACTACATGCAGACATACACAAACATGTATTCTTTTTACTGTGAAGGGAGGCACCTGGTGGGGACACTTGCTTGACATCATGGTTGCTCAGTTTAATGCCATACTGTGGAACAATCCAGGCAAAGCAATAACATCTACATGCTGGAGACAAGTTGTTGCTGTGCCCTTTTCCACCAGAAAAGTCAGATAACTTTATTTGTCTGTGGCTGCATTCATATTTTTCCTGGTTTGGTTTTGATCCTGATTTAGTCCTGAGCTAGATTTGTGTAGATTTGGTTTAGTCCCAGTTTGGATGTGGTGTTAATGCACCCTATGTGACGTAGATTTAGGTTTCATAACATTTCCGAATGGTATCAATATAATTTAGCTTGAAATAACAAAATGAAATCCACTAATGCAGTATGTGCGTGTAAATTAATTTGAATTGAGATCAAGACGAAATAAGATTTAATCAAATATTGCGCTTTATCAACATGAGTAAAAATCTGGATTCATATTTTTTGTTGCCCAGACTGTTTTAATATAAATTTGTAGTGTGTGTGCCCTGACAGTCTGATGTGTGCGCGTGTGCGTGTGTGTGCGTAAAGTGTTTGGGAGATAAGGAGATCGATGGCACTTTGCCTCCCAGCCATTCCACAGCGTTTGTCCCTATTGATCCACTCGAATACGGAGGAAAGCTGCAATTAAGGAAATGGAAAGAGGAGAGGGCTTGAGAGGAGCAGAGGAGTGATAGAGTGATAGAGAGGTGAGCAGAGGCGCGGTGACACCAGACAAGGGTCCCCGTGTGCACAGCATTAAGGGGGCTTTTGAGTGACTGGTTAATAGTTTTTCATCCGATCCTATTGTCAATTCAAAACGCACGACGCTGTTGTGAACAAACGCCCAAGTGCTAAGTCATCCTGTCAACGCAATGGCCTTCACACATATTACGCACTTGGACTCATGAACTTTTGATCTGTAAAAACAAAATGAATCAGCGGGCTTTCTCATATTACACCACACTGAGCTTATGAAACTTATTTGAACTTGCTTTGGCTTTTGAAGATTTCATGAAATGTGTGTTTTTATGTTTACTGAATCTATCTAAATCTAGCCATCTATTAGGTGTTAATAATAATTATTTTGTCTAAAATATATGTTGCTTTTCTAGACGTTCGAAGTGGCTTGCATTATTTACTCACCACAAAAGTCACACCTGCCTTGTGGTCAACCAGTTGAAGTAACAATCAAATTCAACTTGTGAAGGCACTTATTGAGCTAATGAATGACAAAATCTGTTATTACTGTGCCTGTAATGTTCCACAGTATGGCATTAAGCTCATCTTTCCCATGGAGTCAAGCAGGTGACTCTAAAAGGCCAAGTTACAGGCCAGATCTATGGAGAGGCTAAATCGCTGACAGCAAGAATGTATTTTTAAGCAGTTTCAGCAACGTAAATACCCATGGTTGACTAAAAACAAGATGGATAGGCTTAATGCCAGACTGTGGAACATTCTAGGCACAACAATAAATCTCCAGTGAGTGAGAGTGTTCGTTCCACCCTATTTATCTAATCTTATGTCTTTGCAAAACATTGATAAATCAGTACTTTTCTCTTCACATTAACATTAAACTGTACTTTTAAAACAGCAAAACTAACTGGGATTTCATTATCACCCCAATTTTTTCCCCCATAATTGAACAGCCTTAAGTAACATTTAAAACAGAAATACTTTGTTAATTTAGATAGAAACATATTCATTAAAGGATGTTATTACGAATATTTTTGAATAGTCCCTGCTCGGTTTGTGATGTTGTTGTAGTTGTTTTTGGTGCTAGTAGGGGGTGTGGACAGATAGCACAGATCTGAGTCGTGTCAGATGTTTTAGCTTGTAATGTGAAAGCTTGTAATCTGTCATCAGGTCAGACTGAATTAAACACATAACACCACCCCCCTTTCACTGCCCATGCCCCAATCCTTTCAACTGTGCGCAGATGAAATTAAAATTCAACTGCCACGGGGCGGGGACCAGCGATGGATGCTTTTGAACTGCATTAAATTAATAGTAAGCGTTAATCAAGTTTGTGTGCGTGCGTAAGGCTGGTCCGAACGTCTTAATTGCCATCAGCGCATCCCACCTTTCACTTTGAAGATAACGGCGGTAATAACACCGTGGCTACTGATTCCGATTCCCCCAAATTAAGATAATCATATTACTTTGATGAACTATAGGCGTTGTGGTTTACGTTTAAACATGCAAGCAGGTTTGTGTACCTTTCCTCTTCCGTCTTTGCTCTAATCTTGAAAGGATAGACGCATCATAACTATCAAAAGTATTAAAAAGGTGTGTAAATTAAACTGCGGTCCTATCTCTCCCCTATGTGTCTCTCCAGGCTGTGGGTTATAAGTTAGCAGTTTTGCCGATCGCTGGAGCTCTTCTCGGGGGAGTGATAGCGGGTCCTCTTGGCCTCCTGGCGGGATTCAAAGCTGCAGGTGTGGCGGCTGCGGTCGGAGGAGGAGCGCTCGGGTTCGCTGGTGGAAACATAGTCCAAAAACATCGCAAAGCTAATTTAGATCTGCAGATGAAACAGCTGACTGCCCCACCATCAAAATCTGAAGAAGAGTTGCCAAAAGATAAATGACAATGAAGTTTACCAATGATGAACCACACACTAATTCACACAAGAAGCCAAGGATTGCCTTTTAAATTATATAACTGTAACTAACTGCCTTATTTAAATGTATTTGTTGTGTATTTGTCAATGCTGTCAAGTGAAAACTGAGGTTTAGCCTGGTTTACTTCTGTACATTGGATAATTCAACCTATTTTTTTTATTTTAAATGACTACTGAACCTGTGTGAGTCCCCAATAACTAGTTAATGTGCTCCTTTTAGCATTCAAAAGTGCACCACCTGCTTGTCTCCATGGATATGTTAGGGCTTTGCCTGAAATATTCCAAAGTATGGAATTTATCTAACATGTATTTATGGGTGTCTTTTGCCACTTTTAAAACTTGCTGTGAATGGGCTCGCCTCTCCACAGATCTGGCCTCTGACTTGAGTGGAATCACCTGTTTACTACTGGTAAAGAAATAACATCTCCATAGTAACGAGCAGGTAGTGTAAATAGTTACAATATGCACTTTTAAAGTCCCGCTTCATTTGTACCAATATTGGATGACTAGCCATGTTTTGTCTTAAGTATTAAATGTGCTTTACATAAACTATAATTTTGTACAAAGTGCCACTGAATGCAACACGTTTTCATGCTAAAAATGATCTTGTTTTTGCCAAATAAAATGTTTTTTTGTGAACTACAGCGGTGTGTAAATGATGCATCCAGACAACAAACATACTGTAAAATGTTTTAATTTAGTTTTCCATTTTTCTTCTTCCCCTTTGAGATGAATGAATTAGAAATGGCATCACTCACTCTCCACCCTTCTGTTGCTCACTTGTTTTTGCTGTTGTGTCACTATACAAAAATCTGAACAACTTTGCAATCGGCTGCAATCCTTGATGTTATTCACATGATTTAAATTATGTACCAGAAATCCAGATTGTACAAAGACATGTAAAGAAACTATGGCAAAATATTTCCAAATGATTATTTTGGTAAATTGTGGTTATGCATTCCTCCTTAATGACAACAGCAAGTTAACAGTGAAACAACAGCCATTCCATCTACACAGTTAAAACAGTCTAAAGGTGCACTATGTAACTTTTCTGATGGACGGTCTGCCACCTGCTTGTCTCCATGGAGATCTTAGTGCTCTGCCTAAATGTTCCACCATATAGCATTCAACTTGTATTGCCCTGTAGTTAAGCAGGTGACAACAGCTGGACAGGTTACAGGCCAGATCTGTGAAACAGTGGTCCTCGCTCTGTCAGAATGTATATTTTGTTATTGCAGAAATGTAAGATGGATAAACTGTGGAACATTTTGGCAAAGCAGTAAGATCTCAATGGAGACAAAGTGTACCCTCCATCAACATATTTACATAAAACACCTTTAATGTAATTCCCCTGATCCCAGCTCAATGGCAAAATGAACAAAAGTGTGCTTGTAAAAAGTACAGAACCTGACTGAGTGTCCATGTGAACTCACCTTTGCGTTAAGTGTCTAGAGAGGTCAGTATTTACAAAGTGACAGGTAGAAAATAAATATATGGTACTAATGTTTTCCACTCATACAACGAGTGAACAGATCTATAGATCAAAAGTAATCTGGTTTACAATATGAGTACAAAAAATGTACCCGTAGTTTAAACAAATCTATTTATACTACATTTTGTAATCACCTGGCCTGTCACAATATCTCTTATCAATTTATACTTAAAGAAAATGAGGGGTGAACAATATTTTGGTCTCATTATGTATCTTATGTACCTTTTACACTCATTTTTTGGAGAATATCATCATTTGAAAACATAATGACAGTGGTTTATTGTGCTTTGTATTAATTGCAGCTTGAGTTTAATTTACAGTACAGTACATTTAGAAAAGATTTTATTGGAATTAACCTGCTTTAGGAATATTGTTTCAGTGCAAAGTGGTTTTCTGTGTTATAGTTGTACATTTTCTGTAAGATATTGCACTATAAATGTTTCTATCGTGACAGGCCTTGAAATCACTGATGCAAAAGTGAGTCTGCTTAAGACACTATGTGGGCACTACCAAACAGACTTATAGCCAAATACTGGCTTACATCAAATACAATATGTACATTTGTAAATGAGTAACAAAAGATTCACTCTAAATGATCGGTCAGGAGTACTTTTTACAGGCACACTTAAAGGTGCACTACGGAACATTTCTAGTGGAGGGGCGGCAACCTGCTTCATGGAGATGTTTGCTTTGTCCTCAATACCTCAAAGTATGGCATTAATTTAGATCCATTCGATTCAATTTTTAACCATTAAGATCTGTGGAGAGGTGACACCCACCTACAGTAAGAATGTATGTTTTTCTTGATATTTTAGCAATAAAAACACTTCTAATTGATTAACAGAAAAATGTTTTATGCCACACTCTGTAACATTCCTGAAGATAAGCAAGTGGCGAACCATTCCACCAGCAAAGTTTCATAGTGCACCTTTAAATCAAGTACCAGACAAAGAAAGAGCCCGGCCTCCTCTGCATTATAAAATATCTACTTCAGAACTATGTGCACACAAGGTGGTCAAGGAGCTTCCATAGGTGATCAAGGAGCTTCCATAGGTGATCATGTCATTGCTTGTGCCTTGTATAAAAATGCACTTGGCCACAGAGAGACGCAGTCAACAGGCGTGGGGGGACTATTTGGCGTCTCCAGTAGCAACAGTACTCAGGGGTTGAACCGTAAAAGTGGAGTGACATGTTTCAATCTACAAAACCAGTCATGAAAAAGCCTGCAATAAAATAAAAGAAATTAATTTAGACCAAAAACAGAAACCCTATGCTGCACAAACGTATTTACAAGCTCCAAAAATAAAAATAAAAACTGTCGCTGCTTCTCTAATGCCCCAACCCCATCCCATGTTTCTTCATATCCCCTTTTCCGTTTGTTCCCAAATAAAAATAGTACATCAAAGTTATGAAAATAGAGGTCACTCCAATGCGTCTGTGTCATGGACTTGCACGGCTCTAGATCTTCCTGCTTGAATCCTGTTTTTTCCTCTCGTTTTCCTTGGTTCTTTGCTAAGGGTTGTTGGGTGTTGCTGTGTGCGGTGGGCTTGTCCCCTCCTGTCCAATGGCACTGGGTCTCTACCTCTGCAGGACTGTCCCTCACAGCTCGTCCCTGTCCCGTGTGAGGATGGTGTAACGCTTCTCACTCGGGGCCAGCTTTTGGAAGGAGCTGTTCGGAGGGCTGCTGGCCGCTTCTCCAACAATCTCCTGGAGACAAATGAAAAGGTTTTAAAAACACATTTACATAACAATTGGTTTTAGAATTATAAAAGAATACACTAATATGTTTTGAATGGTGAAAAGTCCTCAAAAATGTTCTAAGTGTAGTAGTAGTAATGAAACACAAAATTTCTATATCTCATAATTAAAACACCTTTAACGAATTATGCTCAGTTTATATTTTAGTAAGGCTGTGCAATTAATCGAATTTTGATAGTGATTTAATTTGTGTGTCAAACAATCTCCAAACTCATATAATCAAGTTGAAACGATTAAAGCTTAATAAAGTTTATTTTGGGATATTTTTGTATAAATAAGTATATTTATTTATTTTTTTTTTAAATATAGAGATTGTAGAGCAGGTGGATATATAGTTTATTTTTGATACATTTATGTTTTTCTATGCCTTATTTCATGCTCAAAGTATATTTTATTCATTTTATGTTTTATACATCACAAAACTGCTCTAAGGTACATAGTTGTAGCCTATATTACTTTTAAGACTGAAAGTTTTGCGTAAATAGTGTAAATCGTGTAACTAAAAAATAATCGTTTGAATAATTGGGATTTCAATATTGACCAAAATAATCGTGATAATGATTTTTTCCATAATCTTGGCATGTTATTCACTGACAGACACAATAACACTGATTCTAATGACAAACACAAACTTAAAAGTGCATACTGTAACTATAACATGCACAGTTAGATGTATTTGAGACATGACTTTCATTTGCTTTTTCACTGTCCACTGTCTGACCTGTCCAGCCGTGCTCTCCGTGGGATCGGGTCCGTGGTGAAACTCTCGGTGCAGTTTTCCAGAGTGTAGGTCCAGCACGAATTGCCTCAGTTTTCCGGGAACGCTACAAGATTAAAACACAAATTCCAACACATTATTTACAAAGACAGATCTGCTTATGCCTTAAATCTGGTCCGACTCCACTAATGACAAATACTGGTGTGAGCAGAGGCAGTGTGCACCCTCTCGACTAAAACAAGCTACACTGTTTGTGGAGATTATTAGGTTGCACTTAGCCTCTCCAAACCCACAATTTAAAAAATAATTAACTTTTTTACTTAATTAGAAGTTCCTAAATCAAAATTTTTGTGGGCTTTGAAATGGGCATTGTCAAAAATCAACAAATACTCAATGTACTGTCCATCAGACCAACAGCAGCTTCACTTTTCCTGACATACCAAAAGAAATCTGAATTTAGGATTTGACGTTACTTAATTGATGTGCACAACGTTTTACCAATTATAATTAGAGTGGATCAGACAGCAGTAGGGTGACCAAAAATATCAAAACATTGTATTGTTTAAAGTGCTGATACAGTATCGATATCGTGAGCTGCTGTATTTATATATCCCCAAGAGTATTTTTAGGTATATTTTACTAAATTCATTTGTGTAAGAGCTACCATTGTGTTGACATTTTCAGTGTTTTGAGTAAAATGGGTGTTTTCATGTTAACTTTCGCAAACTTAGTGGACTTAGTTGACTTCTAGTATCACAGCCCTTGTTTTTCACTAAACCGAACTGAATCGATGTGAAATATATCGTACCGAATCATATTGAATCGAACGTTCACTATCGAAAAGCATATCGGATCGTGTCTATGTATCAAGGTATGTATCGTATCGGCAACTTCTTAATAATACCCAGCACTAGACAGCAGAGACCAAGACTACACAGTGTCAGCTCGACCAAAAGCCCAAACATTTGTTTATAGTCCATGTAATGTACCACAAAAAGTACTTGCAATAAATATCGACCCCTAAAAATTATTGTTCATTCTCTCATTTACAGAAGTCGAAATAGTAATTATGAGGACAGGCCTAGTGCTGTTGTCATATCACCAAACAAGAGCTGGTCCCCGGTCGAATCCCGTGTCACATACATTTAAAACATACACTAATGTAATCACTGTGTGTGCCACAAGCTGCACTGATGTGATGTAATTAGGTTGTGGTCAGTCCTCGGGCCAGGCTGTGATTGGGGGCCAGGGATCGCCGCGGTGACGGTGGAGGGGGGCAGAATAAATAAGATTAAATTAGATTAGACTGGATTAGTTTAGCACTTATTGCACGTGCCAAATCATGTCACATTAGCTCCGGTGTCCTGGCCCATTCGTGCAGGACAGATTTTAGGAGCTTTGACATTTCTTTGGTGTTCAGTCCACAGTGCAGAACAGTGGCCATGTATTTAATATTTCCTAATTACAAATGATTAAATTATTGGAATATTCATACTGGTTCAATTGCATCACTGGAAAATTTGAAAAATGACAAAGGATGAAAGTGACGAACTAACTTATCCACAAACCAACTATAACCAGTGCGTATTTTTGTTCAGTGTTTATCTGTCTGTTTATTGTCTTGGGATCTTTACCTTCTTAAAATATGAAAAACAGAGCAAGTCCTTTTTAAATGGTTTGGTGCGATCTAAAGTTATTACTCATTTTCCTAACACATCCAAAATATATACCATGAAGAGTTATATTAAAGCTAAAACATTGCACTTCCTGTTTGGAGACAATAAATACAATTTATAATTCAATGCAGATATTACAGAGTGGTCTTATTTTGACATTAAGAGCTACTTTTACAATATACCTGTACTTGTACAAAACAAATTTTGCTCAACTACATAATAGTAAAAATAAAATTGATGCATGGCTATTATTATTTTCATTTAAAAGCATAAAAAGATACTTACGAGACGTCTTTAAACTCGGGGAAGACGTACATATGCCTAAAGGAGTCAATGGCGATGACTGGACAGTCAGCCGGAGTTTTCTGAATGTGCAGCAGTGGATGACGGAACTTATCACAGTCCGCGTGTAAAAAGTTTATAGACCCTGAAGAGAGAAGCAAAACAACTGAAATAATGCATTTTTATTATTCAATATGTTGCCTTCACAGTCAGCTTTGGCTTTGTGATTACATACCACAACCACATTTTGAAACGAAAGTGAAAAGTCACCTGAGCTTATTTATGAACTTTGTCCCAGTTTTTTTATTTCATGTGGAGTAATTATAGATCTATTAACCATAAAATAGCCAAATAGATCATCTTTGCTGTGCTCCACCTCAGTTTTAACTGTTGGCAGTTTAGAATGAGATAATATAAAGTATAATATCTTGCATATATTGAGACACTTACCTTTCTCACTAATAAGCTGTCGCGCTACTTCATGCTGGAACTTTTCTAAACTTTCGGTGTCTTCTTTCACATGGAAAAGGATGAGGAACGGGAGGCCTTCTTCTGTCAGCTCCTGGTCAATGCATAAAAACACAAACTTAGACACTAGAGTTTGAGACAGATGGTGCCTGCTCCATCTCTGCATACTGTATGTACTGTATGCACATCTATATTTCATCATTTTACTACAAACAGCAATAAATTATGACTCTGGCATTTGGCCATGTGTAAAGTAGGACACACCTAGAGCTGCTCGACTATGGACAAAAATTATAATTGATATAATTATTTTAAGCAATAATTTATATACTCACAAATGTAAACCATTCATTAAACTATTATTAACATGTAAAACTGTGCAATACATGTTTTAAAAGCCAGGGTTTTGAATGCAAATAGAAACTTATTTGTCAGCCATTAGATCTACAAATTTTCCATATTATTATTCCTGTGGCTTAAGACTGGTAACAACCATGCCTTTGTGCTTCACTAAGTCACTACTTTTGAAGCTATTGTGAAAAATGTTACTGTAATTCAGTTATGCTGAAAATATCTAAATTTTTTGTCAGTTTTTCACATGGACTGAACCAATAAATACCCATAAACATGGTCAAAACATCAGTTTAGTGCACTATGTAACTTTTTGGTGTGGGGTCTGTCACCTCCTTTTCTCCATGAGGATTTTATTTACATCTCCCTGTAATGTAAGCAGGTAGCTCAAATGTAAATTACAGTCACTCTCTTAAACCCGACCAACTACATTTTCTTTCTAACTGATTGAAGTTGTAATTGTCCAGTACACACCTCTCCGTTTTCAAAGGTGATCTCTCGGACCAGAGGCACACACTTGTCCTGGGCCCAGGCGTAGGCCAGGTCGAAGTTCGTAAGGGCGCCCAGGTACACCATGTCCGGGGCGGCCTCTCCAGGGGGTCTGTAAATGATGTTGTCCCCACTGAAGCGCTCGTGCTCCGACACAGGGCTACAGGGCAGCGAGACAGAGAGAGAAGTTTTTTAGTTTGGACTTACACTGAACAGTCAGGGGTGTTTATGAGAATAGGTTAATTGCTAATCACCACAAAAGGCCATATGTAGGAATTATAAAGGACATTATAAATTGATGGATTAGTATCGCTCTGACATTGAAAAAATATCCAGTAATTAGCATTAATATATATTATGATCGTTCATAGCATACACAAACGCCTTCAGTGAAAAATATATTGGGACAGTTTTCAATTTCTTTTAATAATTGTACTCACCCAAACCCAGCCAGAAATGTGCAGTCATCTCGTAGGATGTTGGCCACTTTTTCAAATGTGCGGTAGTTATCAGAATCCTTCTTTTCAAAATATCCTATGATGGTCCTCTTGCTCCTCTAATAGAACAAATATAATCAAGTAAAACATAAACATGAACTTATTTCCCAAGTGCTTGTACTTTTGAACGCTCCACTTACATCCACATTAGTGAGCTCCGCGGGGGTCACGACCTCTTTGATGGGGTCGACCTGCTGCGTCTTGATGAAGTCTGCGATGGCGGTCACAGATCTTTGTCCCCTGTACTCCCTCTTCATCATCATCCCATTTCGGAACAGCTTCAGAGTGGGGTATTTGGTGATGCGGTACCGCTGGGCAATGTCAGCTGAGAGATATCACAGTTTCAGCTTTCAGAACAGTTTTCAAAGTTATCAACTGCAGCCAATTTTATACATAAGACCCTATTAAGGCAAGATATTTATATATTTTAGGAAAACATTACATTAGATAGATTAAAGGTGAGATAATGCAATTTCAATGCAGCGTTAATAATTGCAAACTTTTATTTCAATTCTACATTTGCTGCTGTCTTTTTATTCCATCATTTAATACTTTTTTGATTGACTGTGACGAGTGCTAGGTAATATAGCAAAAACCTATAAATCGTGACTTTAGATTAAACTTTTTAATATTTTTTTACAGGTAAACAACAAAAAAGCGAATAATTGCACAGCCTTATTAGTAATATACAGTATTCTTATAGCATATCCTAATGTATTTTGACAGGCAATGTACAGTTGTTAAGATGCTGTATCTACCTCCAAATGCACAGGAGGAGCAAAGCCTGAGGTTTATTTAAGCAAAGACAAACTAATCAATTGATGAAGAGGTGGTCTGGCGGGGCAGAGGGAAACACATGGGGTGGGTGAAAAAGAGGAGCAGCGACACAAACGCTGGTTAAACCCAGGACTGAAGACAGAAGCTTCAGTCAGCTCCAGGCTCTGATCTCCTACATTAAAAGGCACCCCCCACCAAGAGTAAAATATTGTGTACGCACAGTGCACCAGCGCGTTTGTGCCACTGTGGCAGGTGTCAATCTCTCCGCGGGGAGTCTCTGAGCCCCCAGTCTTCACAGGAAGCAGCAGTTTTGTCATTAGTCTTCAAACACTTTGCAGGTCATCAATAATTCCCTTTAATTTGCTTTATCTCAAAAGGCGGAGGCGGCCGGTTTATGCGTCTGCGCTTTGCTGTGCTGGTCATCTATGTGTACATATACATGCTCCAATAGGCCCCAGTGTGCGGAGGGAGGATATGTCGCCTTTGGGCCATATAGAGCAAGGGGAGTATGTTTAAAAGTCAAGATAACAAAGTAGTGTTAATAACTAGGGGTAATTGATATGGTGAAAAGTCTTATGATCTTTTTTGGAACCTTGGCCACAACTTTTATCAGAATTCTTAAAATTAGTAGCATTAGTATATGATGAGATAACCTTTATTTGTCCACTAATGGGGAAATTCTGTGGTTGCAAGCCACAATAACAGAAAGTCAAAATATGCATGCATAATCAAGATAAATAACTATAACTAACTCACTCACTTGATAGCATAATAGAGCCTGGCCAAGGGAAGAAATAAAAATTATGGGAAGAGGGCTGCATTAAACAGAAAAGAACTGAACCACAATATAATGTTCCAGATAAGCAGATTGTCACAGGTCACGTAATAATTTTATGCCATAAGCTTTTACCTATGTTTATCGGAAATTCTGATGCATTTTCCAGATGAACAGAAATTAACTGTGTCTGTACTTACTACAATGCAGATGAAATATGAAGATAAAATTTATATAATACAGTTTATCTTTAGAAAAATAACAAAACTACACAGTTTTACTCACAATGCTGGTCACAGTCGACACGTGCGAAAACCACTTGTTTAGTGTCAGGAAACTCCTCTCGCACAATGTTTGACGCCTCCTCAAATACCGGATGAAGCATTTGACTAAACCTACACCTGTAAAAATGGTAAAGGTTAGTAATCTCTCATTTGCATTTTTTATGCAAATTAGAGATGGACCAATATATGCAAGCAACAAAACAACATAATTCTAAATCCAGTAAAGTAAAGTTACAGTAATAATGTCATTGAAAATCCTCACATTCAACGAAATCATTAAACTAACAATAAAAATGGGCCTAATGGCTCTTAGCCACACTTACCAGTCTGCATAAAAATTCACTAATGCCACCCCAGCATTATCTGCAATGAAACACAGAGTCAATACATATACAACAGCGAGATGCATTTACCCTCTGGCAGTAATAATTTAGTTAATTAAAATAAATGTAAGAAACAAATATTCATACCATACTTTTAAGAACAGGGACATTGGGCTGCTATTAACTGTAGCCAAACAATTTAAAAAATAGGACGTGCATTCAAAAGTGGTTATGCAGCAATTTAGTAACCACTTTCAGCCGTTAGGAAACTGCTTATCTATTTTATCTTTACATCTGTACTGTGATGAAAGACATTTAGAAGCAAGGAAATACTAAACTACGCATAAATGTTATGAAACAGTAGTGAATAAAAAGAGTCTTACTTAGGACATCATCGATATTGCCTGAGTCCAGACTGGTAATTTCTGCCTGACCAGGAGTAGAGAGGCCCATTACCTATGAATCATGAAAAAAAATATCAAGAAAACTGAAACATAAATCAAAGAAAGCGACGAGAAGGACAGACGAGAGGTTGTTTGGCCTATGTATCCCACTAAATTATATTCTTTCATTCACATTCATATGTTGGTGTACAGACAAACCCACAAAAACTGATCACCTTGATGATGGGAAATTATGCCATAAACTATGGTAAAATGGTACACTCTTGAGGTCATCTCAGTAAACAAGACTTTATTGTATTGTAGTGTAAGTGGTTTTGTGAAATAATTTTCACTAAATAGCCATAGATATTGTGGTTGGTTTGTTTCTTTGCCTATTCCATTGATAAGACAGGGCCCCTGAAGAGAGTTCAGCTAAGGGGAATCCTAATAAACTAAAGTGATATAGTTGTATTATATTTAAAATGAAACTACAACAGACTAAAGTAGAGCTAGGTACAATATTATGACTCAACATCCTTCCAGACCAGGATGTTTGTACGTGCACAGACTACAGCAGAATCTTAAAGAGTTACTTTTGGCTGTTTGACAACAAACCCAATCACAAAGTGTGGATTACAGAACAAACTATAAATCTCCACCTCTAAAAAATATGTCTGGTATTTAACCAATGGCAAACACTTTAACCAGTAAATAATGATCATGTTACCATTACAGTGAATTGATAACTGGAAAATTGTATGATTTGACTTCAGCAAGTTATGGAAAAATTAAGGATTTTTCATGACAATGAAATGAAAAGTTTTTACTTCAGAACTGAAATGACCAAAGCAGCTGCGCTTTGCTGCTGTGCCGAGTTCCGGGTTTTTAGCCAATCAGAATGAGCCACAACAGAGGAATTCACCAACCATTGAGCATCACCCAGAAGCAAAGAAAAATGTCCAAATTTATCAATAGGTTTGTTTAAATAACATTTAATACAATGAAATCTAATGAATTACAATATATGATTCAATAGATTAAGCACTTATGCATCACCACGACAGCTTTTACACGTTTAGGTAGTGTTGTAATCAAGTGCACAAGAAATATCTATTATTCAAAACTTTTTTTTGTGAAAGCCTTGGTCATACAAATCACAAAAGCATAACAAAAGCTTTGCCATCACTTTTGTGCATGGTTATTCAATGTTTCCCTTGTAAGTTGACATTGCAGCTAGACGTCCCAAAACGACGAAAATGCGTTGCTAGATCGTACTGTAATGGTCCGATTTCAATATCTGATGCTAGATCTCAGTAGTTTCTGTGATTTTAATAGCCCATTGCAAACCATAACACATTTAAAGAACAGTCACACCTGAATATTCAAATCGATTAGCTTGTAGCCGAGGTAAAGCTAGCCTGCTCTAACCAAATCAAACACCATTTTCTAAGCATTAAACGTACCAGCAATATGACCGAAATGAAGCGGACATCTAGAGAGAGAGATTTTGATTGCAGTTTCATTGTACGCGGTGAAATTTAGTGATGTTGATGAGTTTTTGCCTCTCTAGTGTCGTCGCCGCTCTTCTCTCTGCTGCAGGAAACTGTCGGCGAGCAATTCTCACGGTGACCACGGAAGTCACACCCCTACTTCCTCAAATTCGCGTTGTATTCTGGGTATTGAAGTTTCTAAACACATTAAATGACCATCTAAAGTTGTCATGAAAACTACGAACATGGCTGGTATGAACACACTCTCACTAAAACTCACGGGAGATGTAGTATTTTTGTTTGGTTGCCAGTAAACGGGACTCTTGAAGAAAACTTTAACATAAGAACTTTAAAGAAGGGGTAAGTAAATCATCAACAATACAGTGGACATAGCAGCCATCATAAAAACGAAAGCAACTGGACGTTTTAGTGTCTATTTGTAAGACTTTCGCATGCGATTACAAGTAAAAAGATGGAGTTGCATCACTTTTTTTCTCTTTTTGCACTGATTATCTTTCAACGTATCTAGTCTGTTTTTGTTTTAGGACAAAGGAAACGACGACTCAGTGTATTTGTGAAGAAAAAGTGCTTTATTTTGTTGTTTCTATTATGTTGATGACCTATTATGGGTGAGCTATAGAAAAGACTATCTAAATTTAATTTTAAACCAAAAACTACATTGTTATTGCAGATTTTAAAGACTGGCTTGAATGTTTGTCATCCATTGTCTGTAACAGCCCAAGTGTCACTGTTAAGCTGGCACTTGTTTGTGTGAACAGGTGGAGATGGACACAGTGTGAGAGTGATCCTCTTCTCTGTCCCATCAGGAACCAGGATCAGACAGGTAGGGGAGCTGGATCTAAAATAACACCCACAAATGATGCGGTGAACTGGGGAACATCTGCTGAAGCGACTCTCTGAATACAGCTATGGTAAGACTCTGGCACTCTCACAAACACACACAACTTTGCATTTGTGACTGAACTACAAAGCAAAGTTTTCTGGAGTTATTGGACAAAGCTGTTATTTACATTGATTACATTGATGACTTTATTGGAGTCTCAAGAGTTTAATACCTCTGAGACGAGCACAGTTCTAAATGTGTGAGCTTTAGACACCTAATTGTTAAGGAGATTAGGGAGAATGTTGAATTGAATCCCAACATTAATATTTGATGGGCTAAAGCTGTCTATAGGGGTTCACAGTGTGCAGGCAATTCACAGATGGAGTCAGAGGAAGATTTTCTCTACACTCCTTCTGTCTCAGTATTAGAAGAGTGATGGAGTTTTTAATTCAAAATAAACCGCAGATTCCCAAAATGATACATACATCACCACTGTAATTAATAACTAATCATTGTCTCTCCACTATGCTTTTTCATTAATAATAATAAATGTAAATGCAGTAATAAAAATATAAATGCACTGATCTTATAGTGACAATATTTTGTGTATTTTATGCATGATTCATTCATATTTGGTGGATGTGAGCTGCTGTAGCTACAGCTGCCATTCTGTGCCAGGAGCTCACTCTTAACACACCGCATTATAGATAGGCAAGGTGGGTAAAGAAGTGTCTTGCCCAAGGATACAATGACAGAATTAATGGTCCAAATGGTTAAGCGTTCTAACCACTAAGCCTCTGCCTAAAACTTAACAGCACTTGTTTGTTTGAAAGATTTCACTTGTAGTTGCACATTTACTGATAAGTGCTGACAATAAAATAAATAATATCTTAATAGATGTATGTCGTAATTAGTGCACTGTTGATGCTTTTATTCAGATATCACCAGCTTTAGTGCATGCTTGTTCCTTTAGATCTTTTTACATTTTACTCTATTAATTTAGTATCACTTTATCATGTTTTCACCTGCTCTGCCCTCATCTCCCTTCTCGTTTTGCTTCTTCTTCTTCCATTTTGCATTGCTGCCATTGATTTTTTTGTTTGTTTTTCTCGCTGATTATGTCCCTGTACTCTGATTCGCCACTGGGCACATTGCTCTCTGCACTTTAATTGGACATTTAATTAGATCACAGTTTTAGTCCAATTAGACGTAGAGGGGGTGGAGGTTGGGAGGAAGAATAACTCCCCAAGCTGATCTGCGGTTTTCTCTGTCTCTGTCTCTCTCTTTCTCTCCAGTCCCTCCCTCTCTCTCTTTCCTCTCTCTCCACCATCTCTCCCCCTGCTGCTCCTCTTCCCTTCCTCCCTCTCTGACTTCTTTTCCATCTCTCTCTCCTCCTTTCTCTCCTGATTTCCCTTATTCCTCTCTACTCCCTGTCTCTCCACTTTCTCCTCTCCTGTTCTCCTTCCCTCTCTCCCCTGTCTAACCCCCCCCTTTCCCTCTCTTTCTCCCCTCCCTAAACCTCACTCCCTCTCAGGCCTTCTCCTTCTCCTGGCTTGTGCTGTCTGCGTTGCCGTCTTATTGCTCTCCCCCCGAGGCTGCCTCATTAGTGATATAATGGGATGACACAAACCGCTTCTCTATCTCCATCTCAGTTATCGGGCAATGTCTGGTTTCTTGGTTTCTTGGTTTCTCAGTCTTCTTGGGTATATATACTTTTGTTCTTCCTTACTCCTGGGGTATTCAAACTTTTTTATTGTACTTAAAAATTATAGGAACATTTTATAAAGCGGTGGGCTAGTTATAAGTCAAATAAGGTAAAGGCAGCCAGTGAGTCATTGAAATGGGTGTGTTTAGGAAACTACTTAGTCACAGATAGTTGCCCAGTAAAAACACTATTTGTGAACATCAATTAGAATAGAGAAAAAAATCAGATGGTCCAAATATGTGCAAACAATTCAGTAGAGCATTAGATTTCGTCGATTAATCAACTGACGGTGTTGTATTCAATCAAATCAGCTAATTATTTTATTGAGGATTTATGCATCATAGCAGAAAAGAGAGGCCTTGGAGTGAGTTTAAATTTTGGGGTTGAGTTGTGAGTTTAATAATATAATCTGAGTTTAATCTGCTATTGTTAGCTTTTGTAGTAGTTTTTGTATTAATATTTGTAATTTTGTGAACTCCTGTGGTCCTGTGGTCCTATCACTGCTGTTTGGGTCAGATCTTATTGTCAGCACAATATGTTAATCTAATTCAGCAAGGTTTTATAGTTCTTTTTTGTGCCCCACACTTACTGCTGCCTCACCAACGTGTTTGTTAAAGGTGCCTTGCGCAACTTTTCTAGTGGAGGGTCCGTCGCCTGCCTGTCTCCATGGGGATGTTATTGCTGTCCCTGTAATGTTCCATTGCCTGACATTAAACAGACCTGTCTAGCATTTATTCATTATGGGTGTTTCTTCTGCTCAAAAATACAATAATTCTCTCTGTGAATAGGGTTGCCAGTCCACAGATCTGACCTGTATTGTAGCCTATAGTTGTCTCCCTTGAGATAGGTCAGTTTAATGGACCGTGGAGCATTCTAGACAAAGCAATAGAAGCATGAAGACAAGCAGGTGATGGACCCTCCACCAGAAAAGTTGCGCAATGCACCTTTAAAGGCCTTATGATAATGTATGTTTTTTAACTTGCTGTGAAAAGTGTGACCCATGCTATTTCTGTCCTATTTAAAAGTGCTTAGAGGGTCACATTAAGCCTCTGGGTCATAGTTTGGACACTCAGTTATATCAAGAAAATGGTCAAGGTGCCTTCAGTGTCTTTAATTAATCTACATGGCCAGAGCATCTGCCAGTCACAGCAGCATCGACCAGCCCATACCGCACACTAACATTAACTCCGTGCTGGGCAGAACCTATCGACTCAGTGGAGTGCACCGGTATGATATCACCACACCTAATGGGACTAAGATAAGCCTCATTACCAGCAGCGCTCACTTACATGCCACTCAAACACTAAGCTATTCTCCACCACTTTTAGCTCCCTGTGGCTACACCCGCTTCCCACTTTGTGTCATCTTGGCACAGAGCTCACACCGCAAACATAAACAGCCCTGAGTCCCAGTGGGTCAGTGTGCGTGTGCAAATGTAAACACACACAGATGTATGTGGTTATGCACACGCTAAGCACCAGGTGACAGTCCTTAGAGAGTTAGCAGTCAGTCTGTGTGTCCCTTAAGCAAGCACACAGCAGCCCTCTCTATCGCCCCCAGGAGGTAGATAGCAGCCTCAGTGTGCCCCCTATGAACAGATCCTCAACTCTCTGCTCCACTGATGTGACTGTGATCCCTCTGTAGCTCCAGATACCAGTCTCCAAGTGGCTGCGAACTACGGGAAATGAGCCACGTTTCAGCCACAGGCCTGACCCCTGCAGCTGCTGATTGACAGCTCTGGTCCCGCCTAATTGCATTACTTTCCCAGGTGATTGGCTGTGGCCCTGGGGGCTCATTTGTCAGGATGCTTTGTGGTAATGATGTAAATGAGCCCATCTCAGTGTCACTCAGCCTTTTGGCCACACGCTGATTGGCCCTGCTGCGCCCCAGGCCTCAGCCCCCAGCCGAGGGAACGCTGCCATTGGTCTGTGGGGAACCAGGAAGTCCCCAAGAAATAGGGCTTTACAGATCACACATCCCTACGGGTGGATATTCTTTTCACCACTTGTTTTATAGCTGCCATTCAAAACACAGAAAATGATCTTACCCAATACTTGGCTGCATGCTTACAAATACTGTACTTAAGTAATAAACATACATGCACTCAGCATATACTTCACAAATCTATGTACACTTAACAGCCTCATTGCAATTTGTCCAGTTTCAGTGCAAACTGTTGGTCTTTACGTCTCCTGGTTCTCCTGTAGAGTTGCTAAAAGGTTTTATGGAAGGGTCTTTGTTAAAGTAACTGTGCTTATATGAGACAGAATATGAAAAAATACCAAATAATGTCAGCATCAGCATGGATCAATACTTATACAGATGCACAATCACTTGGTCTGGACCTCAGCCTGTGATCAATAGTTTACTCTGAGTTATTGTCTTCATATTAACAAGTGGAGTGCTCCCTGAGGAACACGTATGAATGGCTAAATGAGAGCACTCCAAACCTCTCGCGGGGCCCGCCATTGTTTTTTACTCCCTCCTTTGTTTGTTTTCAGACACTGCTTCTCAAAAGGCTTTTTAGCCAAATTTGGATGCGCTGTAGGTGTTTCCAAAACACTCAGGTCCTCGTGCAACTCTAATTGCTTTCTCTTGTTGATATGAATGTCCCTTACATCAATTGAGGTATCGACATGAGTCCCTCATCTCAGCATTCGGCCAAAATACACATTTTTTGCATCTAAAATTATTCAAAAATCAATTCATTTTTTATTGTAGCAGCTGGGGACCGTGATATTGAAAGGGAAACAAAATAAAAGAAAAGTTCACCAAAATCTCGACTGAGTATAGTCCAGACTTCTGCCACATGTAAGACACAAGGATCCTCATTTTATGGCATCTGTTTAGTTGTGCATGTGTTAGATATTATTATGTAGACACTGTGTGTTACTAACTGAGTAATGAGTGTAAATTAGAGATGTTTGTGGCTGATTTTGGTAAAGCCCCTGTAAAAACTCTCTCTCACGGAACATCACTTCCCATGACGTGGCCCATATGCCCAACACACACTGCTCACCTATAACCACCTTTAACCACCTATACCCACCACCTCCTACCGCCTTCTGTGTGCATGCAGACCTACTGAGTGTAAATGAACAAACTAACCTGTGTTAAATCTCCACCACTTCTTGGCAGACCGTGAGAAAGCAGTAAGGATGATCTGTAATTGCAATTCTGCACGCAGTGTCTCCAGGAGCACTGTTTATGAGTTTAGAGGAGAATGGGGGACACATGCCTCTTTGAATGTATGGTATTTGTTTCTTGCTGTTTTTGTTTAACATTACAACTGTGAATGACAGAGCTGGGCAATTAAGAATCTGAATCTGAAAAAGGTTTGTTGCCTTTGCCAGTGAACAAAATTCACAAACTAGAAACTTGCTTTGGCGGTACAGTGCATAAAACTATGAATAATAATAATAAATTCAAACTACACTAAAATAAAAATAAGGTAATCAAAATAAGGTTAATAAAATAGACTCTGAAAAAACAATATGGGCAGAACAACAGTGCAGGTAGATTAATTACGGGTCACGGGTGTTATAAACTGTTAATGAGCCCACTGTTGTTGGACTAACACTTTATAACATCTTTAGATCAGGATTCAGTCATTAAAATGTGCTTTTTTTTATTTTATTTTATTTTTTTATTGAGAGGTCTACATTCAATTGCCTGCCAGTAAAAGCACGTGGTTTGGAGGTTAAACTTTGTAGAAAGAAATATTATTAACTAAATATTATTAACTATTTTTTGCATGAAATAGCAATGATTTAAAGTCTGCATTGTTTAGAAAATGTATACTGAAAGTGTTTTTTTCTTGTTTTAGTAAGACCTAGTCAAAATAGAAAACAATGTGGGAGAAAAAAAATTATTATTGATTATTTAGTTTTGTCATATCACCCAGTACTACCATTACAACTGCGCCTGAGTTAATAAAAACGTCTTGGAGATATTTGAGATTGGACTATGACTCTGTGCCTCTAGCATTTGTGTGTTTAGGGGCAATAATTGATTTCTGTGTTTTGCCCCGCAGGGCTTGTCCCACATCCTTTAACACACACATACACACAGCCAGCTCTCTGCAGTATTAATGAGACATGAATAAGACATGAAGAGGGACCCCCTTCGTACATGCTCACACAGGGCCTCCCCTCCCCAGCTGCTTCCTGTCTGCAGATTACCCAGAGTTCACTGGGCTCTGGTTAAGTGGGGCCAGGAAGAGATTTAACACCTCAGCAGCAGGGGCACACACTCCCGACTGTCAATGTACTTGTGTTCTATTATACTTTGTTAATTTAATTTGTGTGAGTTTTACATAATTTTAAATGCTTTTGGAAAATGTGGGGTAATAAATGTGCATACTTAAATAATTAGCTAAATAACAAATACCAGGTGTTGTTGTGATTCAATGAAAGGCCGCGTTCACACTTACACACCCATTCCTACGTGCATTTGGGGTTTCCAGCTTTATAAGGACATTACATTGACTCGCATTCATTTCCTGGAGACTGATCCTAACCTTAACCATAATCACTACTCGCCTCCCCTTAACCTAAACATTAGCTGCAACTTAAATTAACACTATAAGGCCGGGTATGCAGTCAGATTTTAATGAGATCAAGATTTTGAATTGTAAATAAGCAGCTTGGCTCTTTTTAATCGAGTGGTCTACAGCAAATCCTCTGAACTCCAAACCACATGCTTTTACAGACAGAGTATAGAGGAACAGATCTGACTTTTGTGTGAAATGGCCTTGGTTAGGTGTGTATTGTTTATGTTAAGGAAATAAATATTGAAAGCCATTTTTATCTTTTAATAAGGCTAAATGAAGTTTAAAGAAAAAAATGAAATCTCTCATGAGAAAAAATATTTTAATTCTTTTTGTGTTATTTTTCAGCCCCAATTAACCCACATCTTAAAGCATCTTATTGTTTTGTCTGGAATGTTCCACAGTATGGTATTAAACCTTTCTATCTTCATGGAGACCGCACAAGTTACAGGTCAGAGCTGTGGAGAGGCGACCCTGTTCACAGTCAGAATGTCTGTTTTTTTTAGCATTAACTATAAACATTAACTATAAAATGTGATAAATGTAAGGTAGAGCTTTTTAATGTCATACTGTGGAATATTCTATAGTGTGGAATATTCATAGAAACAAGCAGGTGACAGACCCTCCACCAGAGAAGTTACACAATGCATCCACATCTAAAACATCTGAAACTGAAAGATTTACTTCATAAGAACCTGATTTTTGGCACCCACAATGTGAAGAAAATCTTTCCTGACCAGACAGTCTTTAAGTATTGCCAAAGCATGTGGTTTTGGCAGGCCAGGAAAATGAAAACCTACCAAATATGTAAAAACCCATAACTGAACCAGGACTAGAACAGGATCTAATATCAGGACTAAACCCGGGACCAAACAGGACCAGTGTAAAGTACAGTAGCATAATCATCCTCACCTGTGCTGTGTTTTAGGCCAGCAGCATCGGAGCCTCTTTGGGGTCTCAGGTTCACGCTGCCGCTGTTAACGGAGACAAGAACACACTGCTCAAACTCATCACAGGTACGACTCACTCACAACTGAACTAACATTTGTATGCAGGTGAAAACAACTGATGAATTTTGTTGAGAATTCTGTGGTATAATAATTTTTATTAGAATTATTATATCACATGCATTTTGTGAAATGGAGCTATTTTGATCAGTAGTGCTTAATCAATATTGAAGGTGCTCATTGGTAGCTGGCCTGGAGCAAACATTTGCAAGTAGTACATATGTTGTTATGTTGTGTTTATGAGTACAAATTGTACCAGTCAGGTCTGTGCTCAAACACAGGAACCTCACCCACTTATAGCAAAGTGTGAACTCTCAGAAGCAGACTGCACCATGATTACCTGTTGAGTGATGAAAGGATGAGTGCCATTTTTCAGGTTCAGGTTGCTTTGTACCTGTTGGTAAATTTTTATTGCAGTTTAAGAGTGCTGGTCCCAAATTACTCATCAGCTATCATGTGGTCAGATAGCTTTAGATATCTTAAGAAAATTGTGATAGAAATAGTTTGTCATGTCGCTCAACCATAGTCCAGATTGTTTATAGAGGGCACTATATATTAATAGGAAACCCAGTGGCCCTTATCCTCTGGCAGGACATGATGTATCATGCTGTAGTTAAGTCTTCATTTCTGCTTTGCCTGTCTGCTCGTGTGCTTAGCTGAGCCCTCTCTGCGGGACCATGAGGACCAGTTTGGCCGGACCCCTCTGATGTACTGTGTGCTGGCCGACCGCCTGGACTGTGCCGAGATCCTCCTGAAGACCGGAGCCTCCGTGAACAAGGCCGACCACAGCCACCGCACTGCTCTGCACCTCGCTGCTCAAAAGGTATAAACTATAATGAATACACTTTTAATTACACTTCATTCATAATTCATTATACAACACGGTAGTAGAATCATTAAATCACAAACACTGAAATTATTTAGGTAATAAAAGTTCTCTGCAATAAATTATTCTTTCTGTGAAAAAACAACATGTTATCCGTGTAGTTTAGATCTTTACAAATAAGTTCTAAAGTACATGTGACTCTTGTATTAGTTTAGCAGTTCATATTCCAGACAGGCTTCTCTCAAATGTCACAGCTCTTGGGCAGTGTGCACTGTCACAACTGCAATTAGATCCCACAATTGTGTGGCCCATCTATGGGATATAATATTTGTACATGTTAAACTGTAAAGCATCCTTTTGTGTATTTAAAATGTATGTAGATTCAAGATTAAATATTTTATTGTCATTGTCATAAAAAAAATCCTTTTTTGAAGGATGTCTTTTGCAAGACAAATGACCATGGGTTATCATTATAACTTTCTCATATCATTATAACATTATCATATGATATAACTACTATTGTAGTCCTTAAACAGAGCAATTGTTCAGTTTAGGAGGTAGTGGAGATAATAAGCCATAGTCAGTGACAGAGCTTGTGTGTGTGTGAATGGGAGTGATGGGGAGCGCTGTCTCTCTGACATCTGATCAATAAGTGGCTGAGACAGGCAGAGAGGCCAGGGATTACCGATCTAATTGGACTGGGAATAGGGAGGACAGGACGCACTCACACTCAGAGTCTGGATGCATGCTCACACTCCAGATAGATCTATCAGACTGCAGTCACAGCACCGCAAATACACAAAACAGACAGTGTGCAGCAGCAGTGTGTGTGTGTGTGCATGTGTGTGTGCAGGCAAGCCCAGTGTCCAGTCATAAAGGCTGCGCTCACTCTACTGGTTTGGTCCTGGTTTAGTCCTAGTTTGGTCCGGGTTTAGTTCTGATGTAGTCATATTTGCTCCTGTTTTAGCGCTGGTCCAGGTTTAGTTCCAAGTAGTCTCCGCTTAGCTAAGACTGAGCAATGGCAATAAAGTAAATCCTGTTCCTTCTTTGATCAATTGTAATGTTTATTTTGTCTCTTTTGGCTCTGATAATTAATTTCCTGAACATAAATAATACACACTTTTTATCAGTGCTATTTAACAGAAAAAGCAAATTTTCTTAGTTCAAAGTCTCAACTTTGCTCCAAACCTCATGCTTTTACTGACAGAGGACTGACTATAGACCTCTTGATTAAAAATAACAAGCTGATCATTGACGTTTAGAATCTTGATTTTGAATAAAATCTAATTACTTGATTAAATACCTTAGGTTTGATTTAGACCTAGTTTAGTCCCAATTTGGATGTGGGAAAAAAGTCTGTTCCACCAGTTAGAGCTCAAGTCCAAGGCTGACGAGGCTGATGATGAGGATGATGAAGAACAGGGGACATCAGGACCACAGCTGTTTACTGTTTAACCGCTCGTCACAAACACTAAAGAGACACGCCACCGAGGGAACACAGATGGATGACCTGTGGATTGGAGCAGACAGTGCTGAAGGCCCATGAGTGAAGGAGTGTTTTTGTCAAAGCTCTTGTTCTTAGGTTAATATTGATAAAACTGGCCGTTGTGAAATACGTATACTAAAAGGTGGGTGTTATAGACAAAAAATTATATCTAAAGAATTAGTTTTCTCCAGATAACGATAATAAGCTCAAGTTCACCTTTTGTATTAAAAAAAAAATATGTGAATGAACTGTAAAATTATACTCAAAAGTGCAGGAATGTCACCATATTATTCTAATTTGAAAGATTACACTGCAAGTTTCTCTTAATTTGGGTTTTATTCTTCAGTGTCGGTGTCTTATAATAATAAAGGAGACTAAGATGGCCTTTCTTTCTTCATCTTCCCTCCTTTTGACTCAGTCTAAAAGAAACCGGAACAGCGAAAACAGAAAAACAAATAATACGTATTATAAGTATATTTTATCCTTAATCTGTTTTTTTTTAAATCAATAGAGGTGATTGGTAACATTTATACTCCATATATTATATTAAAACTATATTATTACAGATGATTTACTCAAAATTGTAATTGTACACGATAAAACAACAATTTAAACTTAACCTGATGCAGAAATGTTGGTTTATGTTGAAGGGGAATGTACGTTTCCTGAAGCTGCTGTTGTCCAGACGAGCAAACTGGCTCCAGAAAGATTTGGAGGAGATGACCCCTCTGCACTTGGCCACTCGGCACCCCTCCCCTAAAGCTCTGGCTCTGTTACTCAAATACATCGGACCAGGGGAAGTGGACACACAGGACAAGAACAAGGTGCTGCATGCAACTCCAAAATACTATTTTAGGACAGTCTATTCATAGATTTACCTAATCAGAAAGACGGTCTGGTTGTCTGACTGATTCTCTGAAAAAAAAAGACACTGATTGGAAGTTGGAGCACACTGAAAGCGCCACTCAGAAGCAATGATTTAACAGTGTGTGGCTTTGTCCTGTCGAGCTGATAACCCTGCCATAAGTCTCCAGGGCTGTTGATCTGTATCGGACATCAGTAGTTACTTTGTTATAATCCAATATCCATCAAGTCAGATGACTGGAGTTTCTGATTTACAGATTCAGCGTCTGTGTCCCATCTCAATTAGGGCAGCACAAAATATCACAAAAATATAGATATCACAATATTGGCTGATGCAGTAATCAATATCACTATATAGTAATATACACATTATTCTTATTTTTTACAGAAATGAACTGTTTCTTCAGGTAAATTGACAAAAAGGCAAATTTTATTAATGATTTTGTATATTTGGTCACTGGCTATGTATACACACGCACACCAAACTTTGATTATTATCTGATTTTTGGATCTATAAGATTATTTAAATGACCATGATCTGAAAGGAAGGAAATGATTTTGCTGTGTAAATGTCATTTTACTAATCTCCAAAGTCCAAAACTGATAATAATCTGATTTTGAGTGTGCATGTTAACACAGCTACTGTTTTTATTTTGACAGATTAGCCAGTATATAAAGGTTGTTTTTTTTTTTTACTTAACTTACTGTGCCAAAAAATATGTTAAAATAATGCGATAATATGGGTATTGCAAAACAAAACATTTATCAAAAACAAACAGATACACAACAGACAAAACAAGCAAAACAAAAAAAAGAGTTATCAAATATTTAATCTTTTTTTCATATCATGCAGTCCTAGTCTCAACAACACATGTGTTAATAGTTTAGTAAGACTGTTTGTGCATCTATACAAGACTAACTCATGTGTCTCTTCTCATACACACAGCAAACGGCGCTGCACTGGTCTGCTTTTTACAACCGACCAGAACATGTCCGGCTCTTGATCAAACATGACTCTAACATCGGGATCCCAGACAGTGAAGGAAAGATCCCCCTTCACTGGGCAGCACACAGCCAAGAGCCTAGTGCCACGCAAACTGTCCGCTGTATTCTGGTAAGTAAATATACAGAAAGTATTGGGGATGGGACAAGATGCAATTTTCACAAGATCTGCATATCTTGTGGCAATTTTATATCTCCAGATCTTGTTGTACAAGATTTTGTCCCATCCCTAGAAAGTATTACGTATTTAAGTAAGTTAGTAAGTTAAGTAAGTCTTTGTCAGCCCACTTCACTTGGCATTTATTTTTACATTTTTTCTCCATGTGAATGCAGGAAGCCGCTCCCACTGAGTCTCTGTTAAACTGGCAGGACTTTGAGGGCCGGACCCCCCTGCACTTTGCCGTTGCGGATGGTAACGAGGCCGTCGTCGAGGTGTTGACGTCGTACGAAGGCTGCAATGTGACAGCCTATGATAACCTCTTCAGAACGCCGCTGCACTGGGCTGCGCTGCTCGGTGAGTGAAAACACAGACTTCCTGTATGTGACCTTTTCACTGATAAATTTAGTTAATTTACTCTTGGATTAATTTCAGTCTAGACTTAATCAAAATAATATGATCTGTTGTGTATTTTGTTTGCAAACATTTGCTTTGTCAGGACATGCTAAGATTGTGCATCTGCTCCTGGAGAGAAACACGTCAGGCACAATCCCATCAGACAGTCAGGGAGCCACTCCTCTGCACTACGGAGCACAGAGCAACAATGCTGTAAGACAGACTTTAGCATACACATTTTCACACCAAATCATACGTATTATTTACATAAACACACAAACTCTGAACTCTAATGCAGGAGACTGTTGGAGTGTTTCTATCTCACCCCACTGTTAAAGACGAGCCAGACTTGGAGGGCCGCACCGCCTTTATGTGGGCTGCGGGGAAGGGCAGTAATGATGTCATCAGCACCATGCTGGCGCTGACCCCTCACCTCGATATCAACATGGCTGATAAGTACGGAGGCACAGGTGAGCACCTCAAATCTGCCAAGGAAAACTAATCATGCCTTTATTGCTCACTGACCAGCTGGAACTACATTCAACAATGAAATAAGTAACTGAAATTATCCCTGAAATTATGTCACATTCTTAACCCTGCGGTGTGAGGCAGAGCCCGATGAGACGAAGAGGAAATAGGTGTGAGCTGTTTAAATGGACTTATTCAATTCTAGCAAAGTCCCTGAAGAAACACATGTGTGTTATTGCCCTCTCACCCCAGGGAGGGCTGGATGTATAATCTCATTGGCATAGCCACTCTGCTCGGTGGGGCAAGTCATTGTTTATGCATGCATAACATGCAATGGTAGACTTATGCTAATGAGAGGGTGTGAGGGGCAGTGAGGCTAATGCACAGATCACTTCCATGCACTTAACTCCAGTCTGGCCTGTCTGGGATGAGTGGGATGGGGGTGGTCTCACAGAGGCTCGTGTGTATACGCCTTGTTAAATTGCCCCGTCTGTTTAACCCTCCATTGACCAGGCATTAGCCTCCAAGTAAAGAGAAGATAAGAGAGTGAATGAGCAAAGAATGAGCATCCTGGGGGAGTCCTGTTCCAGTTCAAGTGCTCTTATTAGTGTGTGAGTGTAATTGTTTGTATGTGCGACCCAGCTCTGCATGCGGCCTCGTTATCGGGCCATGTGAGCACCGTGAGGCTGCTGCTGGAAAGGGGCGCCATGGTCGACTCTCTAGATGTTATGAAGCACACACCACTATTTCGGGCCTGTGAGATGGGACACAAGGACGTCATACTCACTCTCATTAAAGGTGACTTTTTACAGTGAGTTTAGTGCTGTAGCTTGCACTGTCCATGCACGCTATGCTTATTATGGCTATTGGCTATTGATCTCACTGGCTATTTCTCTCACCTTGCCAGGCTCAGCACGGGTGGACCTGGTGGATGTGGACGGTCACACAGCCCTGCACTGGGCAGCTTTGGGTGGGAATGCTGAAATCTGTCAAATATTAATGGAGAATGGAATTAGTCCAAATGTACAGGTAAAACGCAGGAACATTCAGTGCAAACATGTTTTTTATCACACATTACATGAAGAAAAGCTGAACTGGACTCTTGTGTTGTAAGGATCACGCAGGTCGGACACCGCTGCAGTGTGCTGCTTATGGAGGCTACATCACCTGCATGGCCGTCCTGATGGAGAACAATGCAGATCCAAACATACAGGACAAAGAGGTTTACATATCACAATATTCCCATATCTGATAATGGAGACAAAGATGAATCAGTTAATCAATCATTTTAATTTGAGATTTCAGTCTATTGTGAGATGTTTTAAAAGGAGTTTCTAAAGCATTGAGGGTTAGAGAGGGTTGTATATGATTACTTTCTCTGGAATGTTACATGGCAATAAAAACATCCGTAATAAAATAAAAGCCAGATAGATAAGTTTAAGGTCATATTGTGGAACATTCCGAGAAAAGCAACAACATCTTCAAGGACACCAGCAGATTACATTGTTATCATTATATTTTCACTGAGTTCAAATAGCTGGTCACATTTGAAAGCATAATTAAGAATTTTTCCATTTTTGGTTTAATTAAAAACCATTGCCATTATTATAACACAAGAATTGAACGTAGAATTGGTGATGTCCTCATATGTGTAATACATATTTTGAATAAACATGCATTTTTCGACACAGGGGCGTACTGCTCTCCACTGGTCCTGTAACAATGGCTACTTAGATGCTGTGAAGCTGCTGCTCGGCTACAGTGCGTTTCCCAATCACATGGAGCACACAGAGGAGAGGTGAGAGACAGGTCCTTTTTGGAGGGAGAGGGGGACAGTAAAGCGGGGGCACGTGTGAATACAAATGTACTGTTTGTTCAGGTACACCCCACTGGATTACGCTCTTCTGGGGGGACACAGCGAGGTCACACAGTTTATGCTAGAGCACGGCGCCCTGTCCATCGCGGCCATCCAGGACATCGCCGCGGCAACCATCCAGGCGGTCTATAAAGGGTACACCGTTCGAAAGGCCTTCAGGGAGCGCAAGCAGCTCCTCATGAGGCATGAGCAACTGCGCAAGGATGCAGCCAAGTGAGGGCAACTTGACTTCTATTATGTAGGATATATAGTAGGGATGTAACAATATCTAAATCTCAAGGTACAATATTATCAGGATATGCATCTCACAGTATGATATTTATTGTGATATTTTGAAGAGGCTTAATTGTAGGTAGGACACTTTTCTGCTTTTACAATACCTTGACAAGATTTTGGTGTGAATTATTTCCATTGTAATCCCAAGAATTCAAGAAAAAACATATATCTTCATGTTTGCATGCATTTAAGCAAAGGAACTTCGTCCATGATATTATTGTGAGATTTTTGACGATACGATATCACAGTATTTTGGTTATTGTTACATTCCTAATATATAGTTACAGTTCAAAGTTATTGGTGGTTTATGGTTAGGAAAGCCAAGATTATTTGGTTAAAGAATCCATATTACGCTATTTCCTGATTTAATACACCTGCCTATTTAGGCTGAGTTCTTCTCTCAACAGAAAACTCTCTGTACCACCTTGGTTTCGTTAATATGACCTACACCTATTCATATTAACTCATTGCTCCATCTCTGTCAAGCAGGGGCCTTTGCAGTTTATATTTGCTTGCCTGTGCCTGTGTTGCCAGCATCAGTCAAAGTCATCCTTTCTTTACCCATTAGAGTCACATTCTCAACATATCTATCCTTCACTGTCGTCCATGTACACACATATGCGTCTTAGGCCTAGTTATTTTGTTCACAGTTGTCAATTGTCAATTTTGCTTTATTACCATTTATGGACCCACCCACTTCAAAGTACACCAGTTTTTTACATGAATTTTTCCCATAGATTTCCCCAAAAATTCTAATATTAAGAGTTTAAAAAATAATCTGGTTAGGTTCAGTCTAAAATCTTTGAAAACCGTAAATGTATCAGCAGCTTTGTGGGTTCTAAAATCTCAGAGACATATTTTAAATAAATAAAGTTAAGGGGAATGTGGTTGTTAGTAAGCTTTCAAACACTTAATATACTTATTTTCCCCAAAAGTCTATGGGAAAAAGGAGCAGCAGACCTCACACATGAACGTTGAAGAGGGTGTGTTGGATGAATGGGAGGAAAGGAATCCCACACACCGTCAATCCTTCCAAAAAGTAAATTTATTACGTGTAGCATTTCAGCCATGTGGTCTTCTTCAGGTATTTTGTCTGCAGGATTCCTTTCTTTTTTCCCAAAAGTGTATGAGAAAAAATAATGGGACATTTACTTCCCGTCAGAACAGGTGGTCACCGATGAGTCCCATTAAAGAAACTAACCTCAAAGGAAAATTACTACTTACGATCAATGCATATGAATCACAGCGTGTTTCAGTGTTCTGAGTTGAATTAGTTGAATGTCTCTCCCCACTCTTCATCCTCTTTCAGGCTTATACTATCCTGCCAACACATCAAAAAATCCTTCAAACAGTGGCACAATTACCTTTATGTAGTGTTATCAAACTTACTGTCCATAATTTTGACATTTTCAGTAAAAAATGTTATTGCTTTATTTTAGAAAACGCGAAGAGGAACAGCGTAAGAGAGATGCAGTGCGGAGAGTTGTGTCGACCAACAGTGAGAAGAGACTCCCCCCTCTGGTCAGGACAGAATCAGAGAAAATTGAAAAATCATCTTTGGTTCACATCATTGAAGACTTGTCCCTGAACGATTCTGTGGAAGAAACAAAGAAATCTCACACCAACAAAAGTGAACATGCCAGAAATACAGAGGAAAAGCTTAAAGGTACAACAGAAAATACTTTACTTTACCTTGTAAGTAATGATCATAGAATAATAATTGCAAGGAAATAACATGGTAACTGGGATAATACATTTTGCCCTGTTTCTTTATTATAACACAGAAATTACAAGATAACCATCCTGAAAATGTACATCTTAATTTTGGGACGAGGTTAAAAGTCCACAGTGTAACTTTACTTCTGGATGGTCTGCTGTGTGCTTGTCTCCATGGAGATGTTAGTCCTTGGCCTAGAATGCTCCACAGAATAGCATTAAATTGACACCATCAGGCCAAGTTACAGGTCAGATCTGAGGAGAGGCAATCTTAAAATAAAAAAGAAACTATAATTAAATAAATGGTAGATACATATTATGCAAAAATGTGAAATACCAGGCAAAAGAACATTTCCATACAGACAAGAATTCATCAATCATTTACTATAACAAAAGTAGAATGTCATTTTTGTTCTGTTTAGAGTTAAAGTAATTAATATGAACACTTTTAGTTAACGTGGGGTTCTTCTCCTCTTACTAGACTGTTACTCTACTGTATCGTGAAGTGTTACCAAAAATGCCACGTTACAATAATTTGGTGTTTAATATAATATGTCATTTTTCTCTCATGGACAGGTCAGAAAAGAAGATTGTCCAGAAAAAGTCCAGTGGCGGAATCACCCAAAATGTTTCAAGCTCCAAGCCACAATGAAGCCTGTACTAGCAGTATTACGGACAATATGCAACAATATGCTTTCAAACCAAGACCTCCTTCTGTGCCTAAAATGAAAGAAAGGCCGTCATCTATGCACAGAAATGTTAATACTATGGACCAAACGGATGCCATTAGTAAAGATAAAAAAATGTCCGCTAATGAAACTTTGCAGAGCTGTAAGACTGTTTCTCAATCTACCTCAACACAAAAGCTGAAAAACCAAATCAGAAGGGAGCAATCGTCAGACAGAGATCAAACTCACCAAAGAAATGCTTCAGGAAGAGGCTTTAAAGCTTCAGACAAAAATGCACTAAAAAAATCCAGTGTTTCGGCCTCTGCACAAAACAGGAAATATGATCGTGAACAACGCAGGAGAAGACACAAAGCTGCATGCACCATTCAGCTGGCCTGGAGGAGGTAGGAACTTAAAGAAGAAAAAATAAAATCTATTGTTTGTTATTGACCTAGTACTTGTGGCCGTACCTGCTTGTCTGACCGCTGGGTATTGATACTTTGCAGCTGATTTCGTCAACATTCCCTGGGGTGTGATGCTAACTTATTAGATTTTGATGTGTGCTTTATTTTTACACTATCCGGCCATAACAAACTGACTTAGCTGGAACTACAGGTGAACTGATGTGTGCTGTTAAACAAGTCTCTCACACGTTTGTTTTTGACAGTGTTTGTTAATGTGTGCATTAGGGGTGTAACGGTAGCCAAAATATCGTGATATCGTATAATCAAAAGTCTCTCAATAATATCGTGGGCAATCACAATATATCGAATCACAAGTTTCTTTGCTTAAATTCATTATGGTTTAAGAATAGCTAAAAAAAAACAGAGGGAAATACATAGACCATGATCCTTTAGTGCAAACTACATGAAGAAAGAGCATTTCAAAGCACTTTTAAATCTTACTTATTTGAATTAAGTCTTGTGAAGGCATTTTAAGAGGAAAAAGTAGCATATTCACAATTTTGTTTGTCTCCACAAAATATTGCAATAAATATTGTAACATGAGATGTATATTGTGAAAATATCGTACCAAGACATTTGGATATCGTTAGATCCCTATTGTGCATTGTGTTAAAAGTATCAATAGGAGTAGAGCCACTGCTGCTCTACTGGAAACTGTCCTTGGTAGGGATGTAACGATAACCGAAATATTGTGACATCGTATCGTCAAAAGTCTCACAATAATATCGTGGGCTGTCACAATATATCAAATTACAAGTTCCTTTGCTTAAATGCATGGTTTTACAATAGCAACAGCTTATAAACATAGGGAACTACATATCCCATGATTAATTTCAGTGCAGACAACATGAAGAAATATGTTTATACTTGAATTCTTGGGATTATGACGTAAATAATGCACACCAAAGTCTTGTCAAGGTTTTTTAAAACCAAAAAAAGTGTCCTATCTACAATTATATTAACCTTTCCAAAATATCGCAGTAAATATCGTACCAAGAGATCTGGATATCGTTACATCCCTAGTCCTTAGGCGACACACTTCACCCATATTGCCTAGAATGAATGTCTGGGCTTGAGAGTTTGTGGGTTTACAAATATTTTTAGTAGTATGTAAGAATGTAAGAATGTACCATAATCATAGACAATTTGCAGCTCTTCAGTGTAAGTGTTTTTGTAGCAATCGTTAAGGAGAGATTTTTACTTAGAGAAAAAGCAGCATCTGTCAGGTTAAAATTTGGATACTGTATTGTTGCATCACTATAGCTAACATAATGGAGCAACAAAATTAACTATTAACATAAAAAATTGCAATAAATGTCCAAGAACATATACATTTTAGGTTTTGTAATTGGGTGCTCAGGAGCTCCTTGAGAAACAATAGGCCCATCTGTTATCCACATGTGTCCTCTCCCACCGCACTCATTCCAGTGGAGAGCATAGAAGAGGGGAGACACGGAGGCACTATAATTTAAGGCTTTGATATCAGTTTAACTAGAGGCTAAAAGTTCAGTATTGTTGTTCTAATAGCTACCAGCAAATATCTGTGTTTCCATAGGCTTGTGTGCACAGCGGGGTACTTTCTGCTTTTATTCAGCTAACACAATTATTTTCCTTTATATATGTGCAGGCTATTAACTATCCTAAATAAATAGTTACACTTTGTCTATGCATAGTGAGAAGATGAAGGGGTGTTAGCTATGCGAGCGCTTTGAAGGTTGCCAGATCTGAACTTTTTTTTTGTTCACAGGTTTTGTGCGAAAAGGCGGTCTGAGGTCGAAGCGTGTGAGCGAGCAGTACCAGTGTCTCACCACACCCACAAGGTGACACGAGCAGCACTTTGTAAATCAGCCGGGAGTAGGAGCTCTGTGCTACAAAGCATCTACGGTAAAAAAATAAATAAATCAAGCATCATCAATACATTTTTTAATAAGTTTGTTGATTTATATTGTGTTGGTGTCATTTTGGGCCCAAGTTATATTTCCCATTAAGCAGGGTAGTCAAAAATTTTACTCAATGTAAATACTGAAATAAGTAGCGGTGCAAAGTAGTGGTTAAAGAAATTAATCAAATAAGCGTAAAAAGTATTTGGGGAAGGTACTATTTATTAATTTTACAATACTCTAAAAAGTAAGCAATATTAGGAGTAACTGTTTAGACCATCAAAACTAAGGCCCGCACGCTGACTCTGGCCCTCCATGCCCCTTTGACCAGCCCCTCAGCCCCTCTGCCCCTCTGTCCCCAACCGCTTGAACTGGCCCTATGAGGCAATCCTCAAAAGCTGTCATGGCCCTTTTTTTTTTTTACTTTTTGGCAAATAATAACACATCTGCATCTTGCATTTTGTAATTTTTTTTCAATAAAAAAATTATATTTGTATGAAGTATTTATATTTATATTCAAATTATTAGCCTGTATTTACATTTGCCGCAGAATTTTCTTCACCTAACAAGCTCGAGATCAAACGTTGACAGTCAGCGTGAGTACTGTAGTGCAGTTAAGGACAGTAAAATGGTGAGTGTTAAAGTACAAAAAGTTGACAGAGAGTGCAGAGTTTTTAAAGAACAGTGCATGATTATTTGCTTGTTCAGTGTAAGGAGCGTGCACTTTATATGATAGTGAGGCGTTTTTCAAAGATCATCATCAGCGTCATACAATTCTGTTATATGGCCGACCCGACCCCGGCCCCCATCACAGTCAGGAGCAATAATGTGGCCCCCGGAGAAAAAAGTTTGTTGAACCCTGGTTTAGACATTTGATTTATAATTTGAAGTTAATAAGTGTTTGTAATAATAAAGTTATAAATAGTTATTGGAAGAACTAAATATTAAGTACTACATAAAATCTGGTATTTTATGAGCTTTAAGGCATGTTACAATTCTGTTACCTCATCAAAAACATAGGCAGAGTTCTGTTTTGTTTTATTCACACATGTTTGAGTAATCCTTTTATTTAATTTATTATAATTCTGTCTACATCTCCAAATCTCAAAATGCTCTGTTCCACCTTCTGATGTCATGGAGCGGTAGTTTTCAAGTTAACAGCTGCATTTTATCTTTTGTTAAGCAGAGATTGGCAATTCTAGGGCCACAGTTATCCAAATGATTCTAGCAAAGGCGTGTGGAGTTTAAAAACCCATTGGAGCACTTCCTGTATTACCTCATGACATCAGAAAGTGGAACAGGTGTTTTCTGTTTGAGAAAAGAACTCAGTCTAAATATGCAGGATTTGTGGTTATGTGAATGAAACAAAAACAAAAATCCAGGTGTTTCTGATGATGAAACGTTATAACATAGATCATAAAATAGTGTAATATGGGCTCTTTAAATACCATGGGTTCATACAGTGTTGTGACCCAGACATATGAGTGCAACAGCAATTGATGTATGCAGGAAGTGCGTAGATGAGCCCCTCCCAAATACCAGGCCAGTATCGTACGGTCCCCTCCAGAACCTCTGGTAGGTTTCGCTCCACAGACAGCGCTGACCTTCATCACACATCAGCAGGTGATGATGGGATGGCTGCGTAGAAACCTCGCTGTGACCAAAACCTACAACTATGCATGTCATTTAGTCCAGCCCTCTGACGCGCCTCTCTCCTCCTCCTTTTTCGCCCCCCCCCTCATCTCCCCTCTTTCTCTCCTTCTCTGACAGTCCTGGCACTGTGAAAAGTTCAAAGCTGTCAGGAAGAATGTCAAAGCTGGAGCTATCAGCTAAATACACAGAGCCACACGTAACCTCACCCAATCCTGGACTAATTTTCTCACTTCCCGCCCTAATTTACAAGATGTAGACTGATGTTTGACACACAACTTTGTACAGGGTCACCATTTATTGTCATTATAGATATTTTAATTTCATACAGTTTAAAGGGGGCACTATGTAACTTTTCTGGTGAAGAATCTGCCACCTGCTTATTTCCATGGAGATGTTATTGCTTTGCCTGGAATGTTCCATATTAGGGCATTAAACTTGTCTATATTCAGAATTGCCAAATTACAGCCAACAACACATGTTTTTCAAGGTATTTTAAGCCACTATGAATAAATGTAATACAGATAAGTTTAATGTGATACTGGGGAAAATAGCAGGTAAAGCAATAAGAGATCTGTGGAGATAAGCAGGCGACAGCAAAGATAAATGTGTTTGTGACATTATTGTTATTACCATTCATGACCTAGACCAAAACTTCAACATAAATATGCAAATATAATATAAACCTGGTTAGGTCACATTTTGGCTGATTACTTGATTTGTCATGAATAACACACTGTTACATAAGTGAATAGAAATAATGAAATTGCTGATCAAGATTTTAAATTATTCTTCTATTTAAGGCAACTCCGTGACACGAAGGGGGCGATCTCTTCGGGGGTCCCAGTCCCAGGTGCCTGTGGATTTACCGCTGCGTACTGCAAGCCAGAGTATGTACTTTTCCAATACATATAATTTACCAGCTCAATTGAAGATCCTGATGACGTATTTTAAATGTTTATTTAAGTGTATAAAAGGTGCGCTATAATAATAATGCATTAGTCTTACATAGTGCTTTGCAACTTTTCTGGTGAGGGTTGTCTTATCTACACTACAGATCTCATAAGATGTTTATTGCTTTGCCAGAAATGTTGCACAGCATGACATTAATTAAACATATCGATATAGCTTTTTTAAAATCACCCAAGCATCTTGAAAAACTTGCATTCTTACTGTGAGTAGTTTCACCTCTCAACAGATTTGAGCTATATTATGGCCTAAAACGTAGGCAAAGCAATCCCATCTCCATAAGAACACGACACTGAGAGATCTTGCACCTCAAGAGTTACATATTGAACCTTTAATCATTCACATTATTCATTTTTGCAGTGAGTGGTATAGACTGTGTGCATCTGACTGATGTGGTGAATCATGCCAAGCACTACTCGTACCACCTCCGACCACAGAGCGCCGACCAGAGACAGAGAAGAATACTGAAGCAACACTAAACGCACACACACACAGTCTATCACACAAGTCCTGGCCTTTCATGTTTTCTCAGCTGTCTGGTGGCCTTACCTCTATAGAATTACTCCACACATTGTCCGTTCAATGCGCCCGGTTTGCTAAAATTAAGCCTTGTGACATCAGAGCCATGACCTCACAGGGTGGGGTTAAGTCCGCAGAAATAGTGTGTGTAAAAGATAACCTTTCATCCATTATTGTAAAGCGCACACACACACATTTGTCTGGCTGCGTCTTGCCCGTTCTCCGTCGCACTGGCTCACATACCGAGATAACCTTTCCTCCTGTTGTGTAGAATGAAGCGCTCTATCAACAACCAGTCATAGAGATCGCCCACCTGCAACCACCAGCGTACATTCATTTTACACTGCCCACTCTCACAAGTACTTTTATACTAAACTATGCCACATATTTTTAACATACTCTCTCTATATATTTTAAATAATATGTAAAAAATATTGCTTTTCCGCAGCTCTTATTTAGTTTTACTGTTTTTATAATTTTAATAAGGATTGGGTGGGCTAGAAATGTATTTGCACCTCCGAAACTGTTTTTCAATAAAATGTGCTATACAAATAAAGAGGATTTTGATTAAAACTTCACTGGCAACAAGTTTCTTATTGTAATAAAAATAAGACAACAATGGCATACTTTTTGTTTTTAATAACAAGTAATTCACAGTAAACTACAGAAATGTTGGAAGAGACAAGATGATACTTTTAACAGGAATACAAAATCGACCAGGTTAAGTCTGTATACACCCTTATAAAAAAATATCGACAGAAGGTCCACGCTCTCTTTGTAACACAGAATGTAACACAGAGAGGGGGGAGGGTCTAAATCTTAATACATGTCCCGCATTCCCACACTGCCCCGATGGACTGTGGAGCTGTGTGCCATCGTAACGCTGTAACAGTAGAGCAGGTCAGTCATCCACTGCTCCCTGGTGCCACCTCTGGAGTATCTCTGAAAAAATATATATTAATGGTATTTTTATGTTCTTGTTCTTCTGTTATTTTATGTTTTAAAGAGACAGTTGTTAAATATTGAGTTGGAAAGCAAGTCACAAATGTATGCTAAAACTAAAAGAATGCAGGTGTTTTGAGCTGGTTCATGGTTAATATCCTTATATTAACTTTATATTTCTACTTCACTGTCAGTGAGAAGGCATTGGACCATTATTCTGTTAAAATGGACAAGATTAATGTTTGTAAATTTGTAAATCAATCTTCACAAATGATAATCACATTTTCCTGTATTTAAATTTTGTTCAAAAACAGTGAATCTCAGGACTGAAACCCATCATATATAACTTTGTATATGACATTTTGAGGATCCACAAGTTATTATTAATAATACTGTTTTGAATACTTATTTGCTATGGCAGTTGTTCTAATTTTTAAATTAACTCGTGGGTAGGATCTGTACTCAAACTCAAATTATCACATCAAATTCGGGAACAGTCACATGACTTTTATTCTATTATGAATGCTATTCTGAAGACTTATGACCATTAATGAAGCTATAGAAATACTAATTTCTATGGCAGTAGTGCTAATTTTCTCTGAAGCCTAATTATAAGTTTATGTTCTTTGTCTCACCGTGAGCTGTTGTATTATATCTTGGAGCAGGGCTGTGTTTGCCAGCAGTTGGTTGTGCAGGGGGGCGTGCTGCAGGAGCATAGACAGGACCTGGCCCAGGTGAGGCAGCTCCTCTTCGCTCAAATCTCCAACGCGTAACAACTGCAACACCATCCTCAGGAGACGGGGGACGCCACTGAGAGCAGACACACAAGCCCCCCATATGGCCTCCCTGCAAAAGTACAAGCATTTAGATCTTTTACTGCAATTTTAGACAGAATCACAGCAATGTCAGTCACAATAAATTATAACATATTGAAGAATAGGATTACTTTGGGCTCTTTAATGAATATAGTGTTGTTTGCACTAGTGGGTGGGGCTGGGCAAGTAATTGAGATGCATTATTTTTGAGATCATGTCTAACTGGGTCTTTTTAATCAAGGTCTACAGTCAATCGTGTCAGTGTGGTTTGAAGCAGAGTTCAGACTTTGAAGGAATAAATGTGACAGTTTTTGGTGTTAAATGGCACTAATAAAAATGTGGACTAATGTATGATTATCAAATCGATACTGAAAGCCATTTTAATTTTGTTTTTGAAAAGAAAAAAGCTGAATTGAAAATTGAGATTGATCAATGACGATTTTTTTTTTTTGCCATACTGCCTGGCTTTTACTTGGCATTTTAATTTTTATTTCACTTTTATTAGTAACTAATTATGGTAATATAAATTGATTTAATAAAGCTATCAAAGCTGATAGTTGTAAATTAACGTATGTGTATAACATATTAGAGATATTAAATAACAACTGTTAGTTCTGCATTGTGCTATTTATCTATTGCAGCTCGTGTATAGTTCATTTATTCAAGTGTTTACTGGTATCAACCTTCAGCCTTCAGGCTTTAGGGTTATTGTGGCAAGAAATGGTCTTCTATTTATTAATGAAAGCAACAGTTTCTGCAGCAATCACACTTAAACATGTGTTATTGAGACTGGCCAGATTTAGACTTTTTATTGTAACATTATAGTTCTATTATTAAACACAGACCTTTTCTGGTTGGTCTCTGGAGTTTCTTGTTGCAGAGTGGTGAGCAGAGCAAGCAGACTGAGACAGCAGAGAGACAGCAGACGTAGTACAGGTTCACTGGGCACTACTGAACGATCCCTCAGCCTGGTCATCGCTTTGAGCAGAGCTGCCGCGGTGCTGTCAGGAATCACTCTCAACTTAGCCTAAAAAAACACAAGCAAAATATGTCAACAAACAGACACTTAAGATTCAAATTACCACTTTGTTTTCCTAATGATTGATGACAACATTACATTCTTGAGCTCCACGGGCACTGGTAAATTAAGTGTTTTTAGACTTATATGTAGCTGATGAAATTGTGAATAAAAATGTCAAAAGTATCAGAAATCAGATAATAAATCAATAAATTTTTCCCAAATCGTGCAGCCCTAAATATGATCTTTCTAGCAATTGCGGTTAGATGTGGGATTTATGTTTTAAAAATAAGATTCTGTTCAAAGTTCACATTTAAAACATTTACAAAAAGACTAAAATATTAACTGACATACCAATACAAAAATTACACTTTAGAACATTTTTGCAACGATGTAAACTACAGGGCCATTTTTATGCAAAATAAAACAGGATATTTTGTTGCTTGTGGAGGCCTTTGCAATTTGCTAATTGCATCCATTCAAATTGGGATTGATTTGATTGTGATGAATCTTGCAGTTCTAATAATTGATACTACAATCCAAACACACAGATTTAAATGACTGCTTAGTAAATTGTACTTACCAAGTATCTTAACATGCCATTCTGCACGACGTCAAAACATTGAGATTTTGAGCCCAAATTTTCAAGACAGAGGCAGACTTCCTGTGAGCGGAACAATCACACAATTAACAAACTGTATTTAAAACAGTCACCCCCAGATTTTATCTTTCTGAATTCTGTAATTATTAAACTTTTCACTACAACCACTGGTGGTTTTAAGCATCTACAATGTGATGATGTCCTATTCCCAGAAGGGGGGCAAAAGCCCTTTTTCCTATTGATTACATTGTACTTGGCCATGAAATATTCAAAAGGAAAATTCACACATTTTTACCTGATTATTTCTATTAGTGACTAGACCCTAGGACCCACTGTATTACATTAAAAACTGCATTTTAACAATATTTATTTTAGCTTGACCTTTAGAATGTTGAGATGTTGTTTTAAAGATGTGGGTGTGTGGAAAGATCATTCTCCTCCAGACTTTAACAGATGAATGGACAATATGATGCAAATAGTTTCATATGAGAAATTGCTGGCAAGGTTGAATGATAATGTAGTCATTTTTCTAAAATCTTGGGCACCAGTTTTTAACTGAAGGGCCTATGATGGGTTCGGTTTTGCTAGAACATAGTTGAGATCATTGTGTTTATTTTGGTAAAAATATTCACACTTGTTTTCCCAATTTAGCCATTTTTAGGCTTGAAATTATATTTGCAACAGGCTAAGATTGAGTAGAAATTAGAGAGCCATGAACACTTGTCATACACACATTAATTGTTTGGTTTTTTTTTGCTATTGACTGCGTGTGCCTCATTATATGTCATGCATATAGGTAACCTCTCAGACTGTATTATTCTATTGGCCCATATACGTTAATATCAAAACAAGGTGTTGCTGTCTGTTATATGTTAAAAGCTATAAAATAAAATAAAAACTTGAATTACAAAAAAAAAATGTTGAGATGTCATTTGAAACCCAGCAATGTGGTGCCTCAGAAGTTTGTGCGAGTGGTTTTGAAACTGGCCCACCTGTTGGCATTCTGCCCATCATTAAAAACAATCTTGTCTCATTAGACCCAGCAGACTTGACATAGTGCATCCTTTATTGCCACCCGCACTCACCACGTGGTGGCCCCTCCTCCCTCCTTTTCACCTCTCGTGATTGACTGCGACAGGGAGATGAGAGACGGGATCTGAGGCCTTAATTGAGGAGTTGAATTAGTGATTATAAGCCTTTCCAACCTGCTCAAACGCCCATACACACTAGCCCCGGGGCAAAGTTGCGTTAGCGGTAATTTCAGTGCAGAAATGTCACACTCCCATCATGCCATGGGCTCTCATTAGCATTTGTGCATATCCGTTGTGCCCGATAACCACGCATCTCCAACCTGTGCACCGTGATAAAGGTCCCCTCTCTGCCGGAGCACCTCGATAAAACGTCCCCCCTCTGATTTTATATGAGCAATACAGAGAGACCAGAGGGGCACTAAAAGACCACAGCTGTGTCCAGAATATCAACATTATTCAGTTTTTAATATAAACCTATTTTTACAACCAACTTCATTTGATCAGTTTAGGGCCGTGCCAATAATCCAATTTAAATTGAATCGTGACTGAATTCATCACAATTTCATCTCAATTATTGACTTAGGTTTGTTTTAATTGACATCTGCAGCCAATCGCAGTAAAAGCATGTGGTTTGGAGAAGAGTTCAGATTTTGAAGGGAAAAAAGCAAGATCTTCTTGTTGTACGTAAAAAGTATTCATTTTTGTTTAAGCTGGGGTTAATTTAAAATTTTTATTTTTTTTGTCTTAATAAACCATCTTTCAAGTAAACTTTAGTTTCATTAAAATTAAATAAAACAAGCAGGAAGATGTATTAAATCCCACAAAAACCATTAACGGTTTCAACGTATTAAAACATTTAACTACGCTAGTAACAACATTACGAGCAATAATTTTATAAGAAAAAGATGAATGCATTTATAAACCGTGTAAATGTTAGTATGTTGAGTGAACCCACATCTACAATATCCCAGTGATGCTTGAAGTGCTCGGCGGGAGTGGGGTGGAGGCTTAGAGGTGACAGGGTGCGGAGGGGCAGAACGCACTCCTCCGCGGTGTCCTGCAGCATGGAGAGTTTTTCAGACGAGAAACCGGTCAGAGACGAGAACAGGAAGCTGAGATAGTCCACATCCTGCAACGCTGGCTCCTGGCTCCCAGCAGTCCAACCACTCAC